GATCTTTTTTTTTTTTTAAATAACGTTTCACTTTGACCCCTTAATAACATGTGTGAGTGTCTCCTCGTTATTTGTATCTGGAATAAAGGAGCCTGCGGGCAAGGAAAATTAGTAAAACAGTAATATTTTAGATATTTGTACCAACAGGGCAGTTTTACGTGGCATATTTCACTAACGAACTCTCGCCGGGGGCCATGTTTGAGGTACATTCACCCTATCTTCGAAAACGCGGAAAGCCATCTTTTTCAAATTGCGCAAGTTTTTTTTTTTTTTTTTTTTTGCGTTTTGATTGACTGCGCAATCCAGAGTATTCGAGAGCATAAGAGAGCATCGGCTGAACCTCTATTTTGACGTACTGGTCTTTATTCAGTAGACGTGTCAGCAATCTAAAAGTCGACGCGTAGGAGCCAAACTAGCCCCTGTAGATGCAATCGGGTGGTTTCGAAAGGAAAAAAAGGCGGACTAAGCGTGAGTTTATGCGGCCGAATATGTTCCTGGTCGTACTTGATGAGTTCTGTCGTCGATGAAGTCACTCGCCACGCTTGTGCATTTCATCAGTACCAAAACTGAGGCGAATTACTTAACGTCTGCTTGCAAACTAACGAAAGTGGCGGACGCGCTGTTTATGAACATGGCATAAGGCGGCTTTGCGGAAGTGATAAGGCGTTTTGTGAAACTTCCCTATTGGTAAAAAAGTAGTCGAACATAAAACTTAATCCTGTCCACCAATATTTTAACCTAGTCAAGAGAATGTAGGAAAAGCAGGCAAATTTTTTATAAACCCAACAACAGGGCTAGAAATTCTCATAGGCGAGAACCTTAAGTTGTTTGAACCTTTGTGTGACATCAAGATAACCGATTTAACTTTCTGCTTAACGAACTGCTCTGTGTGTACGAATCGTTTCTCGATTTGCCAGAAATGTGCTTTAATCTTAGGAAACTGTCGGAGCCACTTGCGGCTTTCAAGCTCGTCATGGAAATGACCCGGTGTTCATTTCTATGTACTAACAGGGACCCTATTAGAAGACTTTGATTCCTAATCTTTTCCGTCACGTGATGGGAAAGCTGTTACAAGGAACAAACGGAACCTGCACAGGCGCGCTCTTTGACAGCGCAGGGAAACAATTGAGTCCGTTACCGCCTAGAGCGCATGGGCGCGTTTGTATCTTTCTTGACTCCAAACGAAGTAACTCGAGGAACGCGCTCCACGAGTTTCTCGCAACGATGAACGGGAGCGGCTCTCCAGACTGTTCGCCGTTTCACAGCATGCGATTTTTTTATTTGAAAACTTTGTTTTACGTTTAATTTGCCTATTTTGTTTAATATATCTATCCGTTAATCATCATATGTGGTCTCCGAAGAGGGCACAATCGAAAATATGCAGATGAATGAACTGTACTTGATGGAATGAATCCTGGCTCCGCCACTTATTTTTTATTTTGGGTGGTTTCCTATATCATTGATTCATTCTACCAATTACGGTTCATTCATCTTCATATTATCGATTATATATATATATATAATCACCAACGCAATTCATAACCCGTAAATCGTATCGTGGTGTACTGCCGTGTGAACAGTCTCAACAAAGGCCCTGGAAATTTCTTGAATCTTAATAGGGGAGTCTATTTCTTATCGGATGTGCTACGTAGAAATGGCAGGTTTGATTGAGTGGGCCGAAAAGGGTAAAAGCGGTGTCAGATTAGCAAACCAGCACAAATATTAGATAAATGGCTTCTTCCCCCACACAGAGTACAAAAGAATAAAGATATATATATCCGCTTTGCCACTCATATGTTTGCTTTTTCTCCTAAACGTACGGCTTTGGAGTTCTTGTTATGCTAAACTTAGTTAATGACTATCGACGTTCTCCAGTTACACGTATATTCTTAGGGGGCTTGTGTTTTCGTTTGCACGATGTTTCAGATTGCGTTATCTGAATTAATTTTTTTTCATGTCATTGTTTGTTTGTTTGTTTGTTTGTTTTTTTGTTTTGTTTTTGTTTTTTTGTTGTTGTTGTTTTTTGTTGTTTTTTTTTGGGGGGGGGCGGGGGGGGGGGGGAACTCTACCTCTGTAGTGCTCGAATTATTGTCATATATTCATATTTTGAAATAGTAACCGAACATTTAAAGTAAGTTGCTACAGATATTTTGTAATTAAACTATGGTAGCGTCTTGTGTCGTTTTAGACTCGCGGTTAAACTGGTCTGGAACGGTCGGTAAGAACACACACTCTTTATTTAGTTACGATAGCGTCGAAGACAAGGCGCAGTCTTCGCAACCCGGTGGAATTCTGTTCTGAAGTCTCCCTGTGCAAACTCTCTGGTGACCTTGCGTTGGGTTACCACAAGGTGGCGCGAACTGGTGAAATTTCGAGGCAACACGGCAACAGGACGAGAGTGCAGTCTCCGCGGTGCGATGGTGAGCCATGAGGTTATTATCCGATGTTATGAAACCTGGATATTGCGCGGAACTGATGTAAGCGTGCAGCAAGTTCCGCCGTCGACGCGGCACCTGAATCGGATATCGTTTTCCGATGCTCTCAGGAGCCGATCGAGTCGAGCGAAGAAATGTTCTCTCGGGAGCCGCTGTATGTTAGTGCGTGCGTGAGCACACTACCTTGCAAATTACTCACGTATAAAAAAAAAGGTTCTGTATTACAAAATTAGTTTAAAAAGCAATAGACTACAGGGAATCGGTTACTTGTAATAAATTACTTCCGAGATCTGATCTCCCCCACGTTTTTTCGCGTCTTTTTCACGCGCGTTGATCGACTTGCTCACCATATACCCCTCTAAAAAGTTTCTCGAGTCTTCAGAAAGGCTTTGCACCCTCCGAGCATTTTAAAACGCAGCTTCTAATCACAACTTCAACGACGTGCATTTAATTCCCGTTCCTTCGTTTCACACTTCAGCCACTAGGCCTTGGCAGTCTTCGATGCACACATAGATACGATGTAGCTCTCTGCTTCTCTCCTTCGCGTCTTATCCGCTGGGTGGCGGTGCCTCCTCTGGAATTGCGTAGAAAGCCCCGATTTAAGAGAGGGAGCAATTCAAACCATGGAGAGCATTGGTGATTTATTGGCGCACACATCTCGGGCAGACTGGTCGCAAGTGCGCATGCGTACTGGGGAGGAAAGCAGCGGCAGAGAGGCGGAGACGCTTGCAGATAATCGACGCTTTCGTCCCCTCTTCGCAGCTCGTAGTGCAAACGCGGTCCGTAAACCACGTGATCCCGACCGGCCAGTTTGAACATTTCTGCACTCTAGGCACATTAGAGTTGCGAAGAGGAGGCAGCTTCCTGATAGATGTCAAAATAACGTCCGTGGCTGCCGCTGCGCACAAGTGACGCCGTATGAAGGAGCGAAGCTAAACACTCCGAGCGATCAAGGGCCGGAAAAGGAAGTATCAGCGACACTGGAGGAGTTTCTGTGCCATCTATCCAATCAACCTGCAGCAGGTAATATTGACAAAATGCTTTCTCTTCAAACACGTGCCCAGTAGGCGTTCACATTTCCATAAATAATGCTTACAAATTAGATCATGTGATCACTTTGTCAAAGTATTTGTTTTCTCGGGCAGCCCCTTGCCTTTCTCTCAATCTTTTCTTTTTTTTTTAACATAAACCATGACACCTGTCTTACAATAAGAATTCCATAAAAAAACGTTACTGGAACAGAAACCGCCAAAACTTCTAAACCCAAGAGATTTGAGGAGCGTGATACTTCGCTCCAGAACAAGAACTACCGAGACTTTCTCAGAGACAATCTGCATATATATATATATATATATATGTATATATATATATATTTACAAAACTAATTACAAAAAACAAACTGCAGGCAAGCTGTTAACGATGCTACAGCGTTTTAGTTCGTCGGCTGCCCTATATATTTACAGTTCAAACGTGCAGACAAAGAGACATCCTGGTTTTAGCAAACCCGCAAGCAATAAAAAAAAGAAAGTGGAAAAATAGATGAAAGCTAGTGGATTAGCTCCATAGGGTAAGCCCAAGACTGGTAACAAATGCAAAAACCGATAACCATATACACCGTGTCAACCAACGGACAAACACCCGCAACAGACGGACAAACACCCACAACAGAAAGACGCGCACACGCCAACAAAAGACACACCAAAAACTATGTCCCTTTAATTTTTTTTCTTATGTTCCACGTTGAAGTATTATTTTTGTGGTATCAGTTTAGTTTAAATCCAGTTATGCAGAACATGCCATTTAGTATTCAAAATTACATATATTTGTAAATCATAGACAGGAAGACACGTTCACACCAGTTTATGTCTTCTTTATTTACCAGTCAAACTCGTAAGCGCGTACTTATGGTGCTCACACAAATACACTTACGCTTTGGGTCTATATACACTAACTGAAGATTGACACATGGTATGTACAATTTCGTATATTATAAAAGTCTATGTTTTTAGCCCAGGTAAAACCTACGAGCGAATCGACCTCTTTTTGTTTTAGCCAGTAACCCTTGCATAACCGGTAAGAGTAACCAGGCCAATGAACACGCTATTAGCACTCATTCAATGAGATGGCACCAATAGCGAAGCGATTAGTACAGGATCTCTAATTCAAAAACATGCACACATTTTGTGCCACGACCTGAGTTTCATAAGTGCACAGTTATAAAACACACATCGAACATAAACATGAACGCATAGAATTGTTATTACACACCTCGTAAATACACCATGCACACATTAATACAACCATGTAGTGAACAATTAGCAACAAAGATAAACATTTCTTACGCACTTGAAAACATATCACAATGTGTCGCACCACACAAATTGCCAACCAGAAGCTGTAAGTTCTGCTAAAAGTTCAACCCAGCTTTTTCTTTTTCCTCTAGCAGCAGAGTTTGTGAATGCGATTTTGAAAGTTGCCGCACCCAAAAATTGGGTGGAGGCAAAAGCCATGGTAGAATCTCTACATAATCGAAGGACTTTCGTTTTGTAATAGAGTTCCCAGAACTCACAGTTGCGACTTTTCCGATCTCACTTCAAGGACGAGCTTGCCGTTTGTTTCTGACTTTAGGTTGGATGGCCGTTCGAAGATCAATTTCTCAAGACGGAGCAGGGGGGCCTCCACGGTGAGGTAGAGCAGGTAGGCAAAAAATAGACTCAAAGAGAATACTCCAAGAATTGTAATAAACTGTGAAAAGAGTAGGGGAAAAAGATGAAAAACAAAGTTATCCAAAACACAACTTTCCGATTGAGAACCCTAATTTGCAAGCATGCTACAACCACACACATGCTTGAACAGAGCCTTGGGTTGCAGCGAAATTGTACTTTTAATTACACAAATGTATAGAGTAGTGTAGTTGTGGAGTTACAGACAAACTGAATAGCACGAGCATGCTAATTGTTATGTGATACCACACTATCTGAACAGGTAAAATATTTTACTGCTAAAAATAATGGCATTTTTTAAAGTCTAGAACTTTGTCGGGCTAAAACGGTCACTCACTGGGAACATATGATGGCAGCGTTCTTGATGAGTGCACAAATCACATAGCTTTTATTTGTGTTAACACTGTATTAATCGTCGTAATAAAACAAAAAAAAAACTTTCTGATGTTTCGAAAAGGAGCTACCAACTAATGGCCTCTACTTGCTATAAAGAAGTACGTTATCAAAGCAAAGTTATAAATACTTGTTTTTATGCTTTAATCACAGAATGTATATCAGTTTACAAGCTTCAGCACAAAGTGCATCGCCTACCGGGACTAAATATTAAGGTAGGTTAGTTGGTTTAAATTACTAAACCTATAAACGACAAAAGGCAGAAAAGGACATGGAGAAGAGAGGACAGCACTGCCCTGTCTTCTTCAAGTTCTGGGTTCTCCTTTGCACTTTATATATGTAGCCTACTGGGACGCTTTCTGCTCGACGGTTTTATGACCCAGCTATATTTTCAATACACTTAGTAAAAACATTCTGCGATCGATATAGTTTGACTTTTATCTTTCACACAATTTATAGTAATGTGGATATTTCAAAAGGTTACGTCAAAACATTTTGACAAAATCTAACATTTTAATAATGATAACTTAAATTCAACGTCAAGACCTTTATCTCGATTCTAACCATTTGTTTCATACGACCGTTTATACAAGACACATAGAGCATAAACAGTTTTAATTTTATTCTGGAGTCATCTTTGCAATCTTTACAATGTGCATCGAACCTTTACAAAGGTGTTTACAACTCACCTGAAAATATTCGTCCGCGTTAAGGTACGTCCTTAAGCGCATCTGTCTGAGTAGAAACAGAAGGAAATGCACCAGGTAGATGGAAAACGTCAGACGTGAAAATGGAAAGAAGAACGCCCATCCGAAGAACTTGTTGAACAGTCCTAAATAAACGAGAAACATTAATTGAAAATTAAACTCTAACAACTAAAACTGCTCAAAACACATCGGTTTCCTTGCATGTAAGTAAAATAAAACATTTAATGAGAAGCTCCCCAGTTCTTTATATAGGGTACGTTATCCTCAATATTTAAGGCTGCATAGACGTTTGCAAGTACGGTCTCTGAGCGACGCCATCTTGCTGGTGTGAGTAGGCCGTGTGATAGTCAAGCGATGCTGAGGTGTACCCACGGCCTCAGCAATGCTCGAATATCAAACGATCTACCCACACCAGCAGCAAGATGGCGGCGCCCAGTGGCCGTACTTGCGAACGTCTATAAGGTGGTCACAAGCGGATCCTAGCGCCGTAAAACGAACCGAAAAAAATCGCTGCCAGCAAACAGAAAACTCGAGCTTTTACCGAATGTGCATTCAGGTGGGGAACTTGTGTCGCTAACTCCCTATACACGAACTCAACTCTGTGACGTCACGGCGCGGTGGTGGCGCGTCGGGCGCACTTCGGATCTGGGGCTGTGGACAGAAGTCCCCATGCCAGACGTGTATTCCTGCGATGTTTTGAAAGGAACCAGACAAAAACCTGCCTTCTGGTCAAAACGCCGCGATTGAAGCCGTACCAAAGGAGTCGAGAAAGGTTTGAAGGTCAGTTTTCACGTGCTCGGTTCGTCCGAGAATCTGGATATGTGCCGTGAAAGGGGAAAAGCAGACGCCGTCGGACGACGATTGCTTGGGCGGGAAGCATTTCGGGTTGAATTCACGGATACTTGTGGTTATCATATTTATTTGTTTTGTTCCGACATGAACGTCAGAAAACCGTCAAGTTGTGCGGACCACCTGCGAACTACGTTCAGTGCGTCTTAAAGTTCAAACGGCCGCCTGATCGTTCGAACTGTCGTCTGCTCTTCCAAACGTTACTGCTTGTCGTCTGCTTTCTAAGACGACCCTGGCCCTTAGATCAATTGTTGGCCCGGTACTTGCGATAAGAAGTAAATGCAGGCCTCAAGAGACTAAGTTTGAAGGTTTGTAAGCAGGCTCGATGAAACAGTAGATACAAGGAGATGTTGATCATTGTTACCACTGACCATCACCGACTTGTTATGCCTCATTCACTTGGTTCGATTCTGCTTGCGATTTTCAGTATCGACGTCGACCATCTCAGCTACGGTTCACGCTTTTGCAGCCCGAGGCGTCGCGACTGAAAATTTCGAGCGAAATTTCATCATGCGAATCAGGCTTTAGGGTGCATACTGCGGCGTCCACGGGGAATGAATCGCCGTATATCACATTATTCATGCGAAGTTATGCGGTGTAACAAGCCTCGGTAATTTCGCTGACGCCGCTCAAGTAGTAAGACATCGCCAGGAAGGCGTAGATTCAACAATTCGAACGCGAAAAAGGGCAGGCGGACTCACACCGAGGCCGACCACATCGCATTTCAATTGTTTGTTTAAGGGCGCCGGCGAGCTTCTTGCCCACACCCCCATCGCGTCTGCACGGCGCCGGTGGCGACCGCTAGGGGCGCTCTGGTTTGTTTGTAAAAATGAGTTGGTGTATACGCACAGCGACCAGACAACCGAGCGTCTCGTCTGCAGACTTGGGAAGTAACCCGTTATAAGTAACGGATAAGTTGTAATCCGTCACTTTTTCAAGTAATTGTGTAATCGCCACGTTACTTTTTTTGCGGCAGTAATTTCTAATGTAATTGCTTTACAACATTCGTAGCGAAATATTTTAATTACGTGCTCTTAAAATGTGAACATCATAGAGAAACTGGAGCAATATGAGCAGGCAATTTAGCAGCATAAAGATAGCAAGTTCAACAAATGAGAAAACATCATTAGGAGGACCATAACCGAAAATAAAACACGATTTTTTTAATGACCGCTCATTCGAACCTCTAGAAAAACATGCAAGGCATAAACAGATATACGAAAAACAAAGATCAAGAATACAACTCCGAGTATGCGTTGTCTCCTTGATCTCTCAGCGGGGGTAGACGCCGCTACTGAGCATGAGCACCGCTAGCCTTGTCTGAAGAATTTCAGGAATCATTTTCGATCGCCGTAAGGTAACGGGATGGCGGGTGGGGTTGAAGCTTTCGATGCCTTGTCAGCTTACTGGCGAACAGAGTGCACATACATTCTTTCTCTTAAATATAGTATATTATTTTTACAAGGACTACAATATTTTAAGGGACTACCGTTTTTACATGGACTACCATTTTACATGAATTGCAGGACGTATGAGAAATGGAAAGTAGCGTTGCAGAACATGTTGGAAAATAGCAAAATTGTTTCTCATGTTTTCATACTTCTTACCTTACTGCACTTTCAAAAAAGCAAGAAGGAAGCATAAGGGGGGTTGAGCTTTGCGGAAAGGCGGGGCCCCATTCAGACAGGTGGGCCCGCAGAACTAACCATCTATACCCCTCTAAAAAAATGAGTTACACACGCAGATGCTAACACAAACTAAAGCAAAAACTACAATATTTTGCCGCATCACTTTGAAGGTCCCGAATGTCTTCTCGACAAGATGGGATCACTTGTGTCAGTGAGGAAGACAGTGCTTCGCCATAGTGGGGATGCAGTATGCACGACTCGCGGTGGCGGAGCGTATGAGCAAGTACGGGTTGAAGAGTTCCAGTCCGTGGGTTGACACGAGGAAAAGCAGAAATGTCAAAGGAGGGTTGCATAAAATGGCAGAACAGCCGGAGAGAGGCCAGCTATCTCCTGTGATACAGACTGCGCCATCCCGTAGCCTGATGGTGTGCAGCTTTTGTGGCACACCTGTGGGATACCTCTGTGGCAGGATCGGTACGGCGGACGAATATATTGGCCGCCCGACGTTGAACGGCTTCCAGGCTCGTTCTTAGTGAGGACCGGCGTGGGTGCAAAACCGTGAAACAATATTCAAGGATTGGCAGGACCAGGGCAGTGTATAGCTGGCGGAAAGCCACGGTACTCATTCCCCCGGGTGACGCGCACAACGAATTCAAGGTGCCTCCGAGCTCTGGCACTGGTTAGCGTTATGTGCTCACCAAAATAGAGCTAGCTGTTTAGACAAACCCCCAGAACATGCATTTTGAAGAAATGTTAAATGAGGGTGCCATTTAGGGAGAGATTGTGGGACGGACGAAACGTCGGTCGATGCAAAGAAACAGTCATGGAGTAGTATTTGGATTGATTGTAGGGCAGGTGGTTCTCCAGAGACCACCGGTAACAGTGGTTAACGTCTGATTGGAGGGACGTGTAAGAGGGAGGTGTTTTGATAGGGTGTAGGAGGGCCAGATCATTGTCGTAGAGGAAATGTGTGGAGAGGAGGTGGGTGGTGATGTCATTTATGAATAAAATGAAAAGCGTTGGTCCCAATACACTAACCTGTGGACGCTACGAGCAGGAATCTGATAACGCCCCTGCACAGCGGATGGGCTGAGTACGTCCAGTGACGAAGTTGGTCAGCCAACGCTAGAGGCAACCGCCCATACCAACACAGCGGAGCTTTCGAAGGAGATGGTGATCAATCCGGTGAAATGCCATGGAGAGTTCTATTTTAGCAACCTCGCACGTTACAGAAGAGTCAATATGGGCACTCGCTGTGTGCACTAGGGTGGCAAGGTCGGTCTCACATGATCGGCTCTGTCGAAAGCCATACTGGGCTGAGCTTACGACTTAAGAGGGCTCAGGACTCAAGATGGACCAGGAACTTCGTGTTGATGATCCGTTCTAATGTGCGTCAGGCAACGGAAGTTGAAGCTACAGGACGACAGGAGTCTGGATTATCGGAGGGTAGGTTGTCTGCCTTTAAAAAGGAAGTCACATATTTTACCTTCCAAGCGGTGGGGACGGATCTAATGTCAAGGAAACACTGAAACATTGGGAGCGGTACAGGAGGACAGGCAGAGAAGGCCATATTGAAAATCAGAGGGTGGAGGTCGTCGGGGTCAGCACGCTGATGTACGCGAACTAGAGAGAGGGTGTCGGACAAGCTATCCTCTGTGATGGTAATCCTGCTTAGCGTTGTAGCACAAACGGGAAAGGATGTGGGCACAGTAGAGTGGGAGACACCAGGGCTTGAACGGGAAGAGGCTGACCAGAGCAATAAGTGGCGGTTGAGGAGATAGGCTATGTCCCATGGTTAGGACACAGGGGCCCCCGCTGAGATGAAGCAGGGACCAGCAGAGGAGCGCTGAAGTTGAGATTTAAATTAACTCCGGAAGAGTTTTTGGGTCCTTCAACGCCCGGCAGAAATGTTCTCCAGGTATGACCTGTGAGCCAGGTGGACAGCTTTCTTGATGAATTTCTGTATTACCTTAGCTTCCAGATAACTTCGGTTGCAACGTCGGTGCTTGGCGTGGCGAAGAAGCATGCGCTTCTGGTGTGTCAGAGCAATAACGTCATGGCTGATCCAAGGTAGGGTGCGTTTGCGTCGCGCCTTGAATATAGGGATACATTCTGAGGGATAGCTGTCATAAAATAAAGGTAAAGGTCGTGCATCTCGTTAGGCGAGGGGCCGTCGAGCAGAACACACGAGGGAGCGTAGTGAATTAGGTTTTGCAGGTGAGTGGCGTCTGTGTGACAGTAGGCACGGCTCATACGGACCTTTTGACCAATACGAGGGAGGTCAACGCAGCATTGTTCGTAGAGGGCCAGGGGATCACAGCGGTCAAGGCTTTCTTGAGCGGAACACTTCACGATAAGGGCTGGGTTTGGGATGAAACAGAGGTCTAGAAAGGAGGGAGCTCCGGATGGACTCTAGTACGTCGGGGCTGAGCAGACTTGCAAGAGAGCCTATTGGTTCTACAAATCAGGAAGATAAGATGATGGAGAGTCCACTGCAACAGGAGTGTTACATTCACTCCAATCGATATGTGGATTAAAGTTCCATATGAAGAAGCTAGTTTCAGTATATGCTTTGTTACAGTGAAGGAGTGAAAGAGAAAGGCCAAAAGGTTGTACGAGTTGGCGCGGAAAGAAGGCGGGCAATAGATACACGCAAGGAGGAACGTGCGTGAACCAAAACCCAGTTCCTCGAGAACTTCCTCAAGGTCAGTATGTTCCAGGTCGGTGCGTCGACGGCGGCGAACAGTCTAGGGAACGACGATCATCACGCCACCTCCACGAACCCCACTGCGACGATCTTGGCGGAATACCACATACTCATTACAGTTCACCAGTTTGCCATTGTGAACTGAGGCTTCAAGTCAAGTTTCAAAGAAAGCGAACAGGGTACCACGAGGAGATGATGCGAGGAGGGCATCATCCCCGTGTACTACCTTCGTCTTGTTAATGACAGAGCGGACGTTGGAATACCAGATATTCAAACGGTTGCGGGATCGGCGGTTGTTTTCTGGGGCAAGCGGCCCAGACGTGGTGAGCTGAGGAGCGGGGACTGTGGCGGGTTATGATGAAGGAGAGGGAGCACACTCGAAGAACTCGGAGTTAAGGGGCAGAAGCAGACGCGCTCCACAGAGCCATTCTCCGTTCGACGATGCGAGTCAGCGATACACCGAGAGCGAGATAAGTTCACTGCTCCGGTGATACCACTTGTCACAACCATCACATTGGAGAGCTGCAACGGACTCCAAACCAGTGCGAGGGCAACGTGGGCATGCGGGTCGAGGATAAGGGTTCGGGCAGATGTCACCGGCGATCAAGAGAAGTAGTGCGGATGATTGTCTCACAAAGCGACCGGCCGACGCCGTTATCACCTTAGGCCTAGGTACACAGTGAGGCGAACTGAATATCTTGGACGGTTTCGGTGCCTCCAGAGAGTTTGGCGATTATCGTGACAAGGAATAAAGCAGACACAAGAGGCGCTGCGAGCAATGTACGGCGGTCCGGTGGCCGGTGGCGGCAGCAGTGAGGCGCCATATAGTGTATGGGAAAAGTCACGTGAAAGTAGTTCATAACGTAACGAGTAAAGTAATTCGTTACTTTTTAGCTGTAGTAATTATAATGGTAATCGCTTACATTTGAGGCCCGGTAACTTGTAATTGTAATCCATTACATTTTTCAAGTAACGTGCACAAGCCTGCTCGTCTGCTCGCTTCGCGTATCAGAAGGTGGCGCCAGGATTAAAATAATAACTAACTCGGTCGTCTGTGAATACGTCCGTCGTCGAACCTTTCAAGTTTATTGGTCTCATTATTTAAAAGAAGACAACCATGCCTTGAAAATATAGAATGTAAAATTCAGCATCTGGGTCCATATTCCGTGAAAGTTGGGACCATTTATTTGAAAGGGCCGATATTTCCCGCTCGTTTTACAGCGATTGCATTAATTGTGGCCGTCTTATATATCCTTATTTCTTTTCTCCTTTCAATCAGTATACGAATACGGTGCTTTCTCCTTTATATAGACACCTCCGTTCCCCCGAAAAAATCGTCCGTAATGTCAGTTGTCCGTAATAACGAGACAAAAATGCGTGTATTTCCCCAGTTTGTCCGCAAAAATGGTGCCCATATAGCGGGGTAACCATATTAACGGGGTTTATATAAGCGAGGCATGACTGTAGTAATCGCTGAAGTTCTAAACTGGTAAAACGACCCGCATAGACCAAATCAGTTTCATCAACTCCTACAGCGAAATACTCGCCGAGCTGTGCGATAGAGTTGCATAGCATGAAAATAGTAGAGAGAATATCAAGCTCTGGACGGGTAATGAAACATGCCCCTATAACCTACGCTACCACTAAGATAAGTGCTCTTCATTATTCTGGAAACCCGGGTATTTGGTTCAACAAAGATGCTATAGGATTTCAAAATTCCTTAAGATAAAATTGACGTTAGGCTGATCCCTCAATATTTAGTGGCAAGGTTGAAGAGTAATACTCGGTGACAGTTTGAGAGTAAAGTGGAGGCTGCCTCCACTTCCCAGTTTAGCAGAGCGAACGCCGGAGAGAGGGCGACCTCTTCTCCAGCGTTCACTCTGCTAAAGTGCAAAGAGGGGCAGGGACTTCCACTTAGCTCAACCTGTCACCGAATATAGTTTTTTTTTTTTTTTTTGCTATACAGCGTAATTGCGAATTAAAAAAAAAATATATGTGAGGCGTATTTTATTGAATAAAAAATATACGCCCCCCGTTATGACCCATTTGCTATAACTCTATATGAAGGAACCATAGAATATATATGCAATTTTCCTAATGTAAAGCTCACAGGTCAATTCGACATTTGGTTATAGCTGTCTGCCACAGCCTCCCTGCCGGGCGCCGTATATGAACATATATTCTTATTTAGAGATATTGCCACGCGCGTCGGTAAGCGAGCGCGTACGGAGCCGAATGGTTGCCGAGCTTGACTGTCGCGTGGAAGGTGCAGGTTCGAATCCGGTCAGTGGAGTGTTCTTTTATTTATTCTTTCAACTCCTCGTAAGTACGGGAAAATTGTCGTCTGATCTAGTTCCGGATGTTCTACGCGCCGGAAGTTTTATACCGAATGTTCCAGAAACCCACGAGTGTACATAAGGACTCCGCATGGCGAGAGGAGTCAGTCTCGCCACAGAGTTCAATCCTGCTGTTTTGCCGACATCGATGGCTGCGACGCTAACCTTCTTGTATTTTGTTTTGGGTACAATTTCGACCCATTAAACATTTAGTTCCTATAGTTATTTGCCGCCTCAACATTTGTGATTCGCGACAATACACCTGCATCGCAGTTATGCATTATTGAAGAAGTGAGCTTTACAAAAAGAGTAAATTAAATACAAAATAACAATACGTTTCGAGCACAACCGCTAAAGCAGACGGTTATACATAAAGTCATATTTATATATCAAATCCTATACATCAAAACCATTTTAGACACTTTCCTTGAAATGTATCGGAAAACGAAACGACATGAATGGGGTCGTTTTTTGTTATGGTGATCAGCTCTTCCCAATATATAAAATGGTTGCTGTAAAAGCATGCTCGTGTCGATTAGAATGTTCACGTTATGAATGTTATCTAAGAACTTTAACCCAAAATATTTTCTGTGCTAAGTAATTCCCAATGTAGCTCTTCCTTCCTGCTGGTGACACTTGCTCCAAATTCGTAGTTATTTTACAAAAATATAGCGCACTTGTTTTGTGCCTTTTGAAGCTTGTCCATTTATAAATTGTGGTGGATCCCAGACGATCGATGGATACTCAATGCATGGCTGAATAAACGTAAAATGCAAAGTTTCATTTACCTTGAAGACTGTCGAAAGTTTCCTGGTATCAAATTCTTCCACCTGTCTTTAGCGATTGCGCGATGAGCGATATTTTCATTAAATATATATATAGGGCAGCTTGCATCGACACCATTTTGAGTTTTATGTTATTATAAGTAGATGTGACAAAGGAGGTTGTCTTGAACCACTTAAAGTAGAACCGCCTTCCCCTATTTTGAGTGTCTCTATTATCATCGATCCATCAAAAATAGAAATAAAAAATATTTTTGTTAATCCTTGATTGCTCATGTCTTTAATGCATTCTTGTAGTAAATGTGCTTATATACTATCATTTCTTTTGACTTTCCTTCAATAGTGCTTCTGGATCTTGCTATCATTGAAACAAATAAAAGAATACGGATTGTTAAGTATAAAAAACTACCTAATTTTCTGAATTTTATTCATATGGATTACCCTTAAAAACTTATGAGAAATATGAATCGTATTGGCGCATACGTTTTTCTGTGTGTGTGTGTTTTTTTTTCCATTTCAGTAGGGTAAAAGATTTTTTTTTTTTTTATCTCAGTCTATGTTATATGCGTATATGCTACTGTACACATTTCGTAATATTTATTTCCTTTGTTTAATAAGTCTGCGGGGGTCCGCGTATTTCCTAAGACAACAAAACTGACAAACGAACCTCCACGTCCAGTTGCGCATGCGTAAAAGGGCCAAAAATACACGAGCGACCAGAGGTTTCGATGGAATCCGCCATAAAGCGCGCTCGTGACGACGCCTGGTAGATGTCCCTTGTTCCAGTCATAAGTCACAAACATGACAAAGCAAGCCAGACCAAACGACGTGACCCAGAAAGCGGCTTGCAATATCTGTGGAAAAAAAGAAGATAAAAACAAGACTCCATCATTTTAAATAGTTTTAGCAGTGGTTGACATTGAACTGTACTCTAGTTCCTTACGTACACTGAGCTGCCGTAACGACCGGTACAACCGGCACGCCTCGCAAGACGTTTTATTTTAATTTTTATTAAAGCTTAACTCAGGAGTGTTCAAGAATTAAAAATCTAACAAAAACGACGGCCGTGCATGTTCTATGTTCTTTACCAGCCTGTTCGTCGCCTGCACATTAGTTTGCAAGCTCGCTCCCGGGTAGCTTGATAAACGCAGAAACGCTGAGAACGACATAGTAGAGAGGCTGGCTACAAAGAATAATCGCGACAAGTATTCATTTGGAAGAAATATACGAACGATGAGCATCTGGGAGAAAGCCAGCAAATCAGCGGGCAGACGATGAACATTCGGAGTAGGACGTAGAGAATGCACTGCCGTCATTTAATCCAATTTTTAATATTTATCCACATATGAATTGAGCTCTAAAAAATAGACAAAACTTTTTGTAAAAAGGCGTTTGGGTGCTCGATTTCTGATATGTAAGGATTTACAAGTAGAATTCTTACGGCCACTCTCTGAGCCGAGTTCTCAGGAATGGTTTATGCTTAAATCACGTGCAGCTTAAAAAGCGCGGGGCCTGGCGCGTTTGACGCATTTTATTACCGTTTCTCAGCTAATGGGAAGGCGGCATCAGTAAATAAAATTGCCGAACAGAAAATCGTGAAGCGAGAAGTATGATCATAATAAGCCACCTCAGTGTGACTTCATCTGACAGTGCCTACAGACAGAAAAGCCACAGCGTCAGATTTCCCTCGTCCCTGAGACACCAACTCAACTCTCGGACGTCACACCGCTGAGGTGGCGCTGCTGCCGGGTACTGCGCATGCGCAGATACGTCATCTCTCGCGAATCAGGTTTCTGCGCAAGCGCCTTGCCCATACTGTAGATCTGTAGATGTGGGTGAACGCTGACTTGATGAAGCAAGCCAGACCGAATTCACGATACAAATATAACAATTTAGTCGGACTTTCATCTCCCATAGAGGGGACATCATCGGTGAAGCCGAGAGGAAGGAATCAAAAGAACACCAATTAGGAATCCTATTTAAGGAGGTCCGCGCACACTTCGGGGAGGGGGCCGCGGTGGAGTTGTAAGCCGATTAATCACTCCGGATGCACCATGACTCCAAGTACCTTTAAAGACCCAATTTTTGTTCGCGCGCAAAGGTCGACGCATTCTCAAAGTCAAAACTGTGACCCGCTGTCCAACAAAAGTCAACCAGCTCAGTTTTTGCCCTAGTGGCATGGGTGGCTTTCGCCATGTCACGCTTGTGTTCTTTTATACGGGTGCAACGTTTGCGCCCGGTCTCCCCAATATACGAGGCGTCATAATAAAGCGAGTTAACTTACGCTTCTCATCCAATTTAGGCAGTCCTCAAAAATCGGCTTCTCAAGGTATCACGCTGCGGTTTACTACAGAGGTCCGGCTAGGTGATGAAAGCATCGAGTGAAAATATAAAAAAAATAAACTTACTTTGATAAAAAAAAATAACAAAAAGAAACAGTTTGGGGCTGCTTGCCGCGGCATTCGCAGACGACGTCATGACCGGGCTCGCCTAGTTGTATGTGCTACCGAAAGAAGACGCAACGTGAAACACGAGAGCAATGCAGCGACTCGACCGATCTTCTCGGTACCAAAAATAAGGGAGCCATGAGGGATATAAATTGGTTTTCGTATTTGAATAAATAAATGAATAAATTATCGCATGATTGGAATTTAACATTAGAGAGACGCGCGCCCGCACAGAGAAAACCATAGGTGAAAACTTTTCGAAGACTGTCTGCTAAGGTCAGCAACGGCGCGCTCATGCTTCCAACATCTGTCGGTGGCAGATTTAACTATTCGAGCCCGGTCATGGCATCCTCTGCGGATGCCGGTGCCCAAAACATGTTTTACTTATTTTTTTTTTCTTGTTTTACTTTATGAGCAACTTAAGCTCATCCGTTGATATTTTCACCCTATGCTTCCACCACCTAGTGGCACTTCAGTAGTAAATCGCAGCGCAAAATGCTGAGAAACCGATTTTTGCGGGCCTTCTAATGTCTTTTAGAAGCCCCATAGATACTCCAATTTACACACAACGCCACATTGGAATTTCAGGAAGGGGGGATGATGGACGAATTCACGTAGTTTAAGATGACATTTAAAAGGTATTTGGATGTTGAAAGAGGGGGTGCTTAAAAGCACCCGATGTCAAAAGCCCCGTGTCAAACGCCCCGCGGCAAACGTTACGGCCATTTTGCCCCGCTTTCATAAACCGATGACGCGAATCCCTCATGGTAGGTGGCCGGGTCCTCAGCGCGAAGGCGGAGCATTCTGCTTTAAACTAGCAGACAGTAAGTGCGCAGGCAAACTTCTGTAACATAATCATACCATACGCGGGATTTAAACAGGGAATAACTGGATAAAGCTTCCCGTTCTTCAGGCGTACCTATACACATTCACGTCTTGCGACTTAGGAGTGAGAACAAACAGAAAAAAAAAAAATCAGTCACTGGCAAAACATTAACCAAAGCTTTTGTCGACTCTGAAGCATGCGAGGATTCACGGTTCCGACGAAGTGGATTCTGTCAAAACTATTACCCCGCAGCTCATGGCGCCATGCTTATTACGCACACAGCACCAAACACCACATCTATTCTTATTACGTCATTTCAAAAATATTTGTATCTATCTAGGTAGATTAAGTTTGTAATTCTGCGTCTGAACATACCTCTATCACAGCAGAGTTCATTGTTGGTTATGCAGATTTATAAGATTGGACACTTGAACGCCATTCTAAATTTTTCTGCGGTACAAGTGAGCCTTATTTTGTTCCTTTCACTTGGAAGATGATTTGAACAGTGCTGCTTCAAACGGCCGGGTGGACGGGGGCAGTGAAAACGAGGCTTTTAGCAGGGTAGAATAAAAACCAAAATAATCAAACGCGTTTCTCTTTTTTTTTTTTTTAGCGTGGTGTTAATAACGCATGTTTTGCGACATAGATTTTGCACGCGGGGCAATCGTGCTACACCCGTTGAAAGATGCAAGGGCCTTGAGAATAAACTAAAAAACGCCTTTAATGAACGAAATTGTTTCTTTCCCTGGTCTAAGACCATTTTTATCATTACGTCTTCCTTGCCTCAACTACTTATGTGTGTTTTCGATAAAATGTCTAGGATTATCTCGCGTCACAAGCTAGTCGACAATAACATTATCTTCAGATGCGCGTAGTCCCGGATGAGAAAAAATGTTTTCTGACCGATGTAGCAGAGTTTTTAAGACTGCTCTTTTGTGCTCAATCGGATGATGTGAGTTGCACTTTAAGATGTTACTGCGACACAATGTTTGCGGTACTCAGTTCTTTCCATGTGTCCGGTGCTTTTTCGGCATACATTAACATCTAGTAAAGGCTGTGTGATTGTCCTTTTTTAATTCACGTGTGAATCGGATTAAAGGTTCAACGCTGTTCAAAGTGGAATTAAAGTCACTGGCATGGCCTGCGTTTAAACTCACAAAAGTGTCGTTTACGTAACGTCTATAAATCCTTACTGGGTGCACAGTCCGCTGTAAAGCGGTTTCTTCCACGTGCTCCATGACAGTTTGCAATGGTTGCCAAACTAAAAGACAACCCCCCCCCCCCCCCCCCCCCTTCGGCCACAGTTCCGGTGTGGTGTTGTGCATAAATTGAGCTGTCTAGAACGTGACACATTGTATATTAGGGAGATTGGCCGCAAACGTCGCACCTATTTGAAAGAACATAAGCGTGACGTGGAAAAGGCTGCGCATGTCACTCTGGCAAAGGCGGGACTGCTTTACCATTATTGGACAGCGAGTCACACTTTTAACTTCGAGAATACGTCGACCTTGGCGCGCGAACAAAGATGTTGTCTACGAAGGTACTTAGAGTCATTGTGAATCCGGAGTGGTTCGACGGCTTGCAACTCCAACCGTGGACCCCTTCCCGAGGTGTGAGCGGACTTCCTTAAATAGGATTTCTGGTTGGTGTCTGTCTCATTCCTGCCTCTTGGCTTCTCTGGTGATGTCTCCTGTATGAGAGAAGAAACGTCCGATTAAATTGTTGCTTTTGTTACGTAAAGTCTGTGCAGTTTGTTTCGTTATGATAAATCACGGCTCCTCAAAGCTTTTCTTTATCTGAAAGTCTATTTTTGTGTAAACAGTGGGGCAATCTATACAAGAGGACAACACGGAGCGCAGATTTGACACGACTGCTATGTTAGCGTTCGTCTGGGACTCACATTGATTAATAAATACCTAAGTCCCAGCCAAGCGATGACGCGGCATTCGTGGGCATTGTGCGCTCGCCTCTCTACTCGGCGCGTAAAATCCAGCAATTCGCTCTTGTGTTGGCATAAGAGTCTTGTAAAAGAGCTTCTAGGTGTTTTTACGGCGTCCGGAACGCATCTCCGACTGGTCTGTTTACCGTGTCTAAAAAAGGGGTCCCTCGATATCTTCTTGATGACGTCATAAAAGTATCCTACTGTCGCCGGTCGCGATCCTGGTGGTGTCACGGCAGCGGTGGTGGCAGTGGCAGACACCTGTCCCCCTGAGGGTCACTCTTCATTGCAAAAGACCACTCAGTCGGTGGTAACGATTGTTTATGCTGGCTCTGTCGGAATGTGAGTACTTCTTACCGGACGAACTGACACGTTCTTATGCTGGACGGAGACGTAGCCGCACAAGATTCCGGTGAGGTACGAGCTGACGTGTGAGAAAGGCCGCAGGTACGTGTACTTCATCGTCCGCGCCAGCTTTCTGTAAATGGGGAAAGTAAAAAGGGAAAATGATCTCTGTCCATTAAGTGTGACCTGGGCTGAGCAGTATACAGTAGCAGACGTTACTAAATGGAACGGTTAGTTGAGATTTGTAGCACCTTTGCAACCCTGTAGCAAAGACGAGGTGGCGCAAGCTACCGCCCGTTACAAAGGGTATAGCCAGGAACATCCATCCATCCATCCATTCAGCCACAACCTTACTGGAATGCGGCTAGCGTTGCGTGATGTTATATCATATAAAATAACGTAACTGCGATGTTACTAAGGTAACATTATAGTAACATAATTTGAAAACATTAACACAATTTTATCAGAGTTTCCTGTAACGTTTCGCAAATTTTATATATTGATGTTATATGAAACGCTGTTGGGAAATGTGAAGGAAACTGAGGTCAGAAGCAGTGAGTATACGTTCACCTCAGCGTTGTAGGCGTTACGGAACTTGTTCACTTGTGGATTCACGGGCGGATCCCCGCATTCGGAACGTGGTTCTTAGAGTAAATGGCGAAATCGACTCGTCGCTGCCGGAAAATCTCTATATGGGTCCCGAACGGATCCAGATTGCCCACCAACGACGAGTTAATTTCGCCACCCGGCTCCAATATACACTTTCCGCCTGCGGGAATCCGCCCGCGAATTCGGAAATAGATAAGGAAAAACAGAAGAAACGATATACGTTACTCGTTGCTTGCAAATAAAATGATGCGTTACCGACGTATGCTACCTCAAAATAAAAGAAACATATGACTCTTACCAATGAAAGGTTACTCACGTTACTTTTTGTTACTTTTGCGTGACTTGTTATTTATAAATTCAGAGTGACAGCGTTTTTCGACACTGGCACAAATGTAGTTGGCATCGTGGCTCATCTAAAGTGAGACTTTTTGCGTTGGTATAGAAACAAAGTTTTGAAGGTTCGTGGGAGGAGTGCAAGAATTCATTCATATCTTGGCGCCTAGAAATACCAATAATCTTAAAGTTTAATATTTTTTCCTCCCTCGGGAAGATGTAACGAGTAACGTAACTACGTAACCCCTTACTTGAAATAAGTAACATAAGCACGCTACCCGTTACTGTTTTGAAAAAGAACGAGTACGTTACTACGTTACCGAAAGAAGTAGCACGTTACAAGTGACGTCGTCCCTTGTAACGCGTTGCAGCAAACACTGGTTCACCTTTATGTATAATGCAGGTGAACCCAACTTCAAAGAGATCTCAAGCAATCGCGGACTTTGAGATTACGGCACTTTATTCGAGAAATGTCCAGATTGTGTGGACTTCGTGGAGATCTGGTATAAGAAATTAGTTCAATCTGATACGAAATAATCGAGGACTGTGATCTAAATTCCTGGAGAAAACCACACGTGAAGAAACCTTGACGAAAATAATCCTTGGAGAAGGTGAACAAGAGGGACAAAGGACAAACACAAATCTCCAAAGCTTCGTGTTTGTCCTTTGTCCCTCTTGTTCCCCTTCTCCAGGGATTATTTTCGTAATTCTTGTCCAGCTCTCGCCCACCTTTGCATATAATTGGATATAATCATGAAAAAAACCTTTGCAACTAACTGGGTGATTACACTCTATCTGTAATAAAAAAAACAGTTTTAAATAGTGCGAAATTCTTTTTTTTTTTTTTTTGCCAATGTCTCAAAAATGATTTAGTTCAATAACTATGTTCAATTAACGTCATGACTATATATATCCTGGGCTATGATAGAATGTGTACATATCAGTACTTGGAATATGCTAAGTAAAGAACACCTTGAACAATTTTTAACTGTGCATGTGTACACATTTACTTTCATATTCCAACCAAAAAAAAATCCTTCTCACTAAAACCACTTATGGTGTTTAGAAAAAAAAGGTTTTGTGCCCAGTGGCCTACTGTTGCAATTGTGTTCTCCTCGTTGATACATATTACTTGTGTCGCTCAAGATAAACATAGCTGTGCTTTCTTTTATTGACAGTATATGCATATTAGTTTACAGGTTTTCTTTTTTTCAGCAGATATCACAATGGTGTGCCATCACGTTAATTCAACTTTTCCATGTAATGTTGCTGTGACATGGAAATTCTATTCCATTATTCACGTATTCACACCGTTAGCACACTACGTTATGTGAACGTTGCTACAACGTTCGGTGCTACTTAGGAATGTGCCCTCCAAAATGTCGGCAGAGCATATTCGGCAGCACGGGAAATTCGCCGGCTTACACATGTTGTCTCTTGTTGATTTAGTTTTTATTGGCACCTTTAGAAGTTATATAGAGCAATCGGTGAGCCGAATTTAGCTTTTTAATTGATGTGTTAAGGGTCATTCGAACCTTGACCAATTTTATTTGATTTTACAGTAGGTTCTTATTCGGCTTGTCAATCAATTCGAAAAATCTATGAAATAATAAATTGGTATATATATTTAGTTCCAAATTTTATGTCATTTTATTTGCAAAATATTTTTTACCTACATTTAAGATTTGGTTAATCAACATCTCGAGAAAATGAATTTTTACCAACCCCAGCGTGCAATGCAAGTACTATGGGTTTCCCCTTCTTGGAGGGGGGGGGGGGGGGGGGGGGGCAGGGTATTTCCTAAAAACACAGTATGAGTATGTTTGTGGGCCCGTAGAACGACGTGCTTATTGTCAGGATATGCCGACACGCTTTGCTCTCGATAAGTTCGCAGTATCGGTGCTGCCTCACTAGGGTGTTTTCGTAAATCATTTTAGCTTTCCCGTAACGTTCCCCGGAACCCACTACGACATCCTGGACTCTGAAGGCAAGGCTAGCGCCGCGCATGCGCAGTAGTGGCGTCTTCGTTTCAGAGAGCGTACCGGAGGTGTGAAAACGGTCTACGAAAGCTTCCAATTAGGGAGTTTGCGTAGACCGCGTTCACCCCTCCGCTAAGCCCTCCGCAACGAAGCCGCTAATGCGCCTGCGCGCCGATGGCTTTGACTGTAAAGTTCCGGATATTTCACCTTGTTGTGGAGAGCGTTGCGAGACATCGGAAACGATCCACGAAAACTCCCAATTGTGACATGATCACCGGTAGGACCCCGCCCTGCCGTGATAGGCAGATTCACGGAAAGGGGAAGAGGCTAAAAAAGAACAGAGCTCGGTGGAGCAAGACCCTTCCCAGAGGAGAGCCCCTCGGCCCCTCGTCCGTCTTTTGGGCCGGCTTATGTAGCCTGCTGGAATGGACGCACGCGCGTTGTCGGAATTAGATTCGCTCCCCGGAGGGTCCAATGCGCCCAAGACTGAATGATCCAGAAGGGTGTGCCAGTGGCAGGTCACCCGAGAAGGGAAAGGGAGAGCCGTCAACAAGGGAATGAGACCTCGCCTCGTAAGGGAAGCGCCCCGACATTGCGACGACCCACGGCCTGCCTGAGCTAGGCCTAGATAGGGATACGGGGAACACGTGGCGTCTTAAAAAAACTAGAGTCGCTTTTTTTTCTCCTAAATATTAACAGTGTAAATTTTTGGCGTGGTTCGCAATTCTAACTTAGCATTGCTCAGAAGTTCAGCACTTTTGAACACACTTTGGAACACAGCACTTTGGACATTTGAATGCGTATTATTGAATGTACTAATTGTTGGGCATCCTCATTACCTTCTAAGGGCCTCAAATTTTCGTGCTGCATCACGGGACATAATCTCCAAAATACCTAAGTTATATTATTTTCTAAAACCGTTAAAGCTGAAATACGCAAAAACACACACACCCCCACACACACTTTTAGGGGCACTTATCGCGCCCATTAGCTGCACTGTCTTTAAATTTGCCACATGCGTTTATGATGTTTATTATGCACTCTGTAAAGCATGGCAATATATATACTGCCCAATGGAAATTTAATGTGATGTTCGTTCTTGCATTGTGTTGCGGGTGTAGATTTCCACGCATGCTTTTCAAGATTGAGCATAAGTTTCAAATGCTTATGAACTAGACCTCCTGTGTTATTTTATTTATAAACCACGACAATATCCTATGCTTTTAATCCGCTGAAGACATCAACAGCGGCCAGACTCCGAAAGCGGTGCTATCCAAGCATTTAGTGTACCGTAAACTTTAGGCCAGTGAAACATAATAATCAACGTTAAAGCAAGAATATTCTTCCCATCTGAAATCATTATGTCTGGTCCGTCGATTTCTCAGTTCCGAAGCCGTTTCGGTCGCTCGGAGGCAGAGCGAAGGCTTACGAATATCCAGTTGCCGGGTCCCGGCCGAGGTGCGCCTGATATCCGACGGAGGATAATTTTGCAAAAAGCGCCGTGTAACCGCGCGGCTTTCGCTTGCACGTCCAAAAATTCTCTTGTGGTCGAAATTAATCACCGATCCTCCGCTGGGGCGTGCCAGATGTCCTTTTCTTGATTTAACGAGTAAAAAAAAAAAAAAGATTTGACTTGATTTGACTTTGATTTACATCTCAACGATTGGTTATTCACAGATTCTGCGAAAAGAGTAGCACGTGGGGCTGTTCATAGACAGTGAGAAAATCATAAGAATAACAACAGATGCAGACAAAAGCTGTGCTTTTTTTATTTTTTCAACATACCGTATTTACTCGCATATTGGTCGATACGTCGTATAGGTCGACCCCCTAACTTCGGGACCCCCGAAAAAAAAAAAGGTAATAAAGAGCTGATACGTAAAAAAAATGGCCTGTTACAAATTTTGCGTTTTAGTTCACTAGAAAACATGTTTTATTGCTAACTTCTTTATGAAGTACTATGTCAAAACGAGTCCCAATATTTCGTCTCCTGGCTGGAAGCTCCGTCGTTGAAAGTATAATTCTATTACGTAACGACCATAAAACCCTACGAAGACGGGACGTGTGGCGCCATCTGTGGATAATGCTTTCAACCACGGTATTTAAATAATTTGATCGAGGCCGCGTTTGGCGCAGTTCATGGAACGATCTGCCTTCACTTCCTTCGCAGGACTGTTTTTTTTACGATCGATTATGAATCAGCCTACAGAGTAGCGGAAATATGTTACGGCGAAGGTCGCATTTAGAGGACGAAACCATAGTTCAGTTTCACATTATCGGGCTAACCGCAGTATTAAGGACGACTTCGCAACAAGATATGGTTCGTCCATAAATACAGCTTTTTTAGTCATTGCTATTTCGCACGTTGCCCCGTACAACTATTCATACAAGCTATAACGAGAAGCAATTAAAAGAAAAAAAAGCAAGAAACAAAAACAAAGGAATGTCACGATCGCATATACCGCATATAAGTCGTCAATTTCAAGAATGGATCTCGAATTTAGCAAGTTAGACAAGTATGTAATAGGCATTCTTTTTGTGATAAACTTTGTGACGATCAATCGAGACACTAGTGTGTAGATTTTTAAGACATTGTTTGTATCTTATTTTCTTCTACCTTGTACATGTTTTTTGTTGTTGTTGTTGTTGTTTTTTTACGAAAGTGTACCACTCCTTAAGGTTATAAAGTGCTGCTGGTGGACACATAAAAAAAAATTCGTCGTTTACTTGTTGGGTTTTGTCCCACAAGCCGCATCTGGCTTGGAAAGACCCGTATTTTCATTGTGTATGTGAATATGTGAGGAATAAAATTATTATTATTATTATTATTATTATTACTATTATTATTATTATTATTATTATTATTATCTCGTGTTAAGGATACTCGAGAGGTGAGTCGCTTTCCGAAGTCCTGAAATAAAGCTGCTGCCCTCATTTGATTTAATTTGATTTCTTTTCATATCTTTCCATTTTATTCCTCATAAGTCAAAAACTTCTAGGGGCATTAATAAAGCAATTTATTGTTAAGTAATGCTCCGAAGTCATTGCAACATTCCCGACCTATTACTGCGAATATACCTTACCCTCAAATTTATTTGGGGGGGGGGAGTAAAATTAATCTATTACTTTATTTTGTTGTTTACCTAAAAGCTAGCTCTGCAAAATTAGGACTGTATAGGTGACGCAAGTTACCTCCCGATTAAGAAAATTGAGTCATATGCATTAATAAATCTACTTTCCCATAGTCCATGTTTCTTCAGCTAGTGGCCTTGATTTCTTACGTCATCTACCTCGATCGAGCGCGGGGCTGATTGGAGACGAACGTCGCGTCAGCGTTGGGTTCGCGTTGTTCGTGTTCAGTCGGTGCCCCCGCCGAGCACTGGCTCAGCGTTGTGCTACGTCAGCCGAACACTACGTCAGAAACAAACAAGAAACTTTCGTTTCTTTTCTCTAAATTTGGGGTGAACCGGTAGTAGCGAGACTACAGGACCTCCTGCTTATTACCAGAAAATGCATCTACCTCTCCTTTAATTGTCGTTTTTTTTATTATTATTTGTGTTATAAAGCTCTAATTCAAAACCCGCATAACGAAATTGGCCACGGTGCTTCCGCGACCTTGACGTTCTAGGTCGAAAATAAGCGAACATCTGGGGCTTGAGAAAGTCGCGAGCAAAACATGATCAAATGAAGCATCAACTTACGCCACGTCATTAGTTCCTGAAGTGAAAGCGTAGAACAAGTTGTGCGAGTAAACTTGGAAACTTATTAGGCCGTTGAACGCTATCGCCACGACCACTGCAGCGAAGCATGCCGACTTGGGGAACCTGGAGAAGAATGAAGCCCATGTCGAAAAGTTTAATGTTCTGAGGCCTTGAAATTGAATCAAAATACAAATAAATGTGTACAGTGACACCAATTACTGGGTCACGTGATGACTACAGAGAGGCCACAAGGCGACAACAGGCTCACAGTACTATTCAATAAGTCAAAAGACAGTTAGTATAAGCTTAGCATACACTCACTCATGGAAGGTTGTTTCAGAACAACCTTTAGTTTCTGTTTGTTTTATATTTTATACACTAAACAACAATTTTGCGTTCTCTAACGTTTTGAAAATCATTAGGATTAAAGTCACAATGACTGCATAGAAAAGCGTAAACGTTGAAATTGTGTTCCAGCCTTCGCTAAAGTCGAATATAATGTAGAGCAAGCGATTCTCTGGCACGCGAAAAGCATGGCAAAGAAGGAGTAGAGGTGAGGAACCGAAACCACTCACAGTTTAAAAGGCAGGAGAATTGTTTTGGTAAAGGCAAATGCCCGTTCGATTGTTATTCTAATCATTGTTTACAATCCAAGGTAATTAGGTGTTTGTATTTTTATTTGCATTGAACTATCGGAGTGACTCTATACTTAATTTACCCTTAAGTCCACACGCAGCCGACGCTACGAGCTGACGAGATCAATCAAATGGCATCAAAAGCGCATCAATATACTGTTCGTCATGTTTGTGTACGTGTTCTATCATCACTAAACAAATCGTGTACAGGAAGGTGTCAATGACTTGCATTCCTGACGTTGTTTGATTGGTTGAATAGGTTCGTATCGTCAGCGGCATATTCCTGATATAGTTGCTAAATTTTACTGCTTAAATCACAACACTGGCGAAAATAGATGCGTCTAAACTCTCTTTACAGCGGATTAACTTTTCAGGTGAAGAAATTGTTTATATCGCTTGAAGAAAGCTGGCTATAAATAAACAATAAATATTATTTAGGCAAAAACGCCTCGACGTCATTTCTACGATCAAGAGTGCCGCAAATCTGAACGCGCCATCTTAACGAGTATCGTGCCTTAAGGACGGAAAACGTCCTTAAGGCACAATTACTCTGAGCAGAAGACGGGACAATACGTCGTCTGTGGCTTAAGGACATTTGCAGTGTGCAAAGATACTGATCGAGATGGCGCGCTCAGATGTGAGGCACTCTTGGTCGTACAAACGACTTCGAGGCGTTATGGCCAAATAATATACCTCGTTTAATCTAAAGGCAAATTTCTGAAGCGACATAAAACAATTTCATCACCTCAAATGCTGGTTCGCTATAAAGAGCATTTAGATGAATGTTATTTTCGCGAATGTTTTCAGTGAAGCTGTACATTTGGGGAACTATATCGGGGATTAGGTTATTAACGCATTTCATTGGGACATTGGCCTACCTTTCGTACCAGATATATGCCTACTGTTCAAAATAATTCCTCCTAGTGCGCAAGCTTTCTGAGCAATGCCATCATATTTCCAAAATATCGAGAAATAGCACCGCGTAGTGAATATATTATCTATACTGCATCACATATATAGATAAAAAAATGCGAGGAAACAGGGTAGGCCAAACAATGACCCCCATAAGAATCTTCGTCCTCTATCGTGGTACGTTTTTCTGTTTATAGTAAGCCAAAAAGCGACCGCAGGCCTTAAGCAATAAACGTTTATTCCATTCGTAGACTGCCTTGATGAAGTAGAGTAATACCCGTGCCACACGGGCAACTCGAATGGCTTTTACAACGAATGACATTCGTGTGATCGACGAATCGGCTTGCGATCTGTCGCGCGTGGAATGCGCTACGCTTGGAGTGTCGCGCGCTGATTGGCCGATCGTTCAAATGTCATTCGTTGTAAATGGCATTCGAGTTGCCCGTGTGGCACGGGTATAACTAGGACGCTAAACGTATAAGCGCATTTTTAGCAAGAAAAGAAAAGAAACAAGGAGAAACTTACTTCAGGAGCATTAACCCCAGAGGGAAGGCGATGAACACAAAGATCTGAAGATCTGCGCTCACGTACCATAAATGCTGCAAACACTGAAAAGCAAAATCACAACTAGTTAGTTTAACGCAGTGTATGACTTCCATATTTTGTAAACTCACTATTTGTGCATCATTACCAAAGCATCAGCTTTTCATGAGCACAGAATTTCAGACAAATAAATGCATGCATTTAAATTGCCATTTGTCAGGTTCCTCAGGGGATTATTTAGGCGTTCACAGTGTATTTTTCCTTAAAACGTTAGGCTTGTTTTAATATTGATTCAATTGTTTTCAATGAAAGTAATGTACAATTCTACTGGTAATAGATTTTCTCTTGAACACCACTACGTCAATCGCTGTGAAGAAGCCTATGAATCCGTACATTTTTAGTATTATTTTTTACATTTACAAAAAAATACAGGAATAAAATGCTTTCTTTGGCAGGGGCATGGCACAGTTTTTCCAGGTTTACTCTACTCGGGGATCACTTTTCTGGTCATTTTTGAGGAGAGCAGGGCCGCGCGCGCACAGCTTTGGTCCGCGCTCGAAATGGGAAAGGGCACGCGTGCCCGCACCTTTGACTGCATTGCCAAACTAAAACCTTGTTACCGAGTGGTTTTCAGCCTTCTGCACCCTAACAACTCTGGAGCGACTACTTATATACCCGCGAAGCACTTGCCAAAACCAGTACCATCTACGGAATAAAAAAAAAAAAAAAAAAAAATTCATCTTTTTTTTTTTTTTTTTTTTTTTATTAATGCGATTAAAACAGGGTAAAATGTACTGAGCGAAAATGAAATGACGACATTTGACGTCTCCCAGCAAGTTTCGAACTGAGGCCATGCAATTAATTATTTTATTCTTATAATATTTACATAACAACTTCTTGCGAATGCCATGTGTATATACCCGCGAAGTATCGGCTTTTTTTGTATGTCATTGTTGCTTTTATAGTATGAAACTACAAGTTTGACGAGACACCCTGTATATTGGTTTTTTGGACATCGAGCCCCACCCCTGCCCGTTTCGATCTGGATGAGCATCGTACCGGCGTGCGGTCGTGTATGACTACTGCGTGATGCACGTTAAAGGCCCCAGGCTAGCGGTTGTACCGCACTGGCTAAATTTCTCATCTACAGCTGAGAGACTCGTCGCCCCTGTGAGGCAGACCAAGTTCTAGGCTGTATAAACATACGCACAACCCAATTTCTTTTTTTTAAGTTTCCTGCATTTAAAGTGGTATCTGATGGAACATATTTTCTCTATACTTTACGTATATGTACAATACCTAAAGATAAAATGTTGATGAAAATTTTGACGTCATTGTAAAAGTGGTGCTCAAGCGTGTCATCAATGAAAACTACTGCGATTGTTTACACCTGAAGCAGAACAGCTTTCGATGCCAAAATAACGCCATATTTCTTCTTCTTTTTTTCTTCTAGAGATGCCATGCTTGAAATTAGAAGTCAGCTATAGAGGCAGCTTAAGTTCGCTCAAATTTTTTCAAAGTAGTGACAACAGCGAGGACTTTCACGCAATCGTGAGCAGAATTCCGGTAACTCTTGCTCCTCCTGCCTCACGATGATATGACGCCGAAATAATTTTGCGACCGCCGATGTTTACGGTAAACCCCATACCCAACACACGTTTTTTTTTTGTTTTTTTTTTGACGAAGTTTAATAAGTTACGCCTACATCCCCATCACCACACCCATCTTTAAGCATGATGAAATGAACGGAGGCGGTCAAACACATGAAACAGCCGTATGCGACCGCTATCAAGGCGCTTTTACCAGATAGCCGTGTATGGAGAGATTGATCATTTATTTAGGGCGGGCGACAGAGAAACATTGAAATGACTTTAAGTAGAGCGCGGGTGGGGCGTCTCCGCAGACACGACTTCGGGTCAGTCACGAGCCTCAAATACTTCCCTAGCGGAGGTAGGGTGAAACCCCCTACATATTATTCAGTTCCGTCCGACTTCTGGCGCGTTAAATTGCGGAAGAAGCAAACGAATTGTTTGTAACCTGCAATCCGCTCACCCAGTCGGCTTAAAACTTTTTTACCGTGTGGTTTTCAGCCTTCTGCACCCTAACAGCTCTGCAGCGACTACTTATATACCCGCGAAGCACTTGCCGAAACCAGTACCATCTACGGAAAAGTTTTTTAGGCATATTTAATGTTTTGTTATTTGTCGCCGAGCTTCCTCTTTAAATTGCAGCAATTGGCTCTCCCAATTGCTCTGCGGGGAAATAGTTGCTCGTGGGCTTTTAGAGTGTGAGTCACGGTTTCTTGTTTCGTTCCCGGGTGCGCATGGCTGAGTTTCTTTCTTTTTTTCTTTCTTTGCTATATGGCTGCTGTAGTGGTACAACTGCGGCTTTGATCATGCCCTTGGTCGCCCTTTTCGCCTAGCTATGTCTAGATCTGAGTGTGAGTTGCCATGCTGATTTCCAAGGCCAAACTGGAAATTACCATAACTAATTCGGGTTCCGTGCTCCGAGTCGTTTACTAGTGGCCCTTCTCTGGCAGCAAAAGTACATTCCGTCTAGGTAAGCCTTGCCTCTAATCCAAAGCGCAAGGGAAAGAGACAAGGCCAGGGGAACACAAGCTTTTAATAGTTTCGTGTTTTTTTTCTTTACTAAGCTAATTGAACCCCGAGAGGAGAAAACATGATATCGCAGATCACAAGACAGCCTCGTCATATTTTACCTCGCCTCGGGGATTAGTTATATTTACGTCTCCTAAACCCGTCAGTATGCATGCTTTCTCTTCTACCAATCTTCGATCTTTGGCGAACCTAACTGAGGCGGTGTACCCACATCCGGTGTTAACTTCGGGGGTCGAAAAGCAGACCTTGTTCCAAATTGCTGCTTTCGCGCCTTTTGCTCTTATTTTTGCTTATTTTGTCCGAATTGGTTTGTATAATGAGTCCCATAATTACTCTTTTCTTACAATGTACCTCAGTCTTTTTATGATTAGATGCTGTTTATGAGATCTTTCAAGGCCAAACAGCTGGGACCGTAGCACTACGCAAAACAAGGGGTTCAACTGCCGTACCGTTGTAACTACACGCACACAACAAAAGGTGATGTTAAATTGCGAGGCTGTAGAAAAAATGAACGCTTGCAAACCTTAAAAAAAAAAAGGACGAGAGCACATTAAACACGTCATTGCCCACCCGAAAGCCGCAAACGGCTTGTCATCAGCACGCTTTGTGTGTTTTGCATTAAATGCAGGTATATTATTTTTTTGCGATTTAAGATTAAGTTATAAAATACTTCATCTAAACGCGAACCTCGTTGACGCCCTGTGAATAATTTTTACAGCGTTCTAACTAGGTGATTCCGCGGTTTTGCTGTGCGCAGAGCAATAATAAAATTCACGAGATTCGTCACGCTCTGACTGTAGATGGATAAGCGGAAGCGCGCCATCAGAAAGCGATGACAGCATCCGTAGTGGGCGCGGGCAACACCACACAGAGTAATCACAGCCAGTGCCATATAGCCTCCTCTTTCTTCTTGTAGCGTCATCACGCTCGGATGGTTATAACCGCAATTGGAAATACGCAAAATAGCAACGCCTCCAGCGAGTCAGATGCACTCTGGGATCAGGATACTGTCAAAGGGTAGTTTCGGGGTTGGTTTTGTCGGGTTGAGGACGTGTCGTCTGCTATCGACTCCTCACCGCCATTGCTCACGTCGTCGTGGATTGCTTTACACTTACGCCCAATGCACCAAGTACCATTTTCTTTTCGTCCATACATATGAGACACGGCGAAAAACAAAACATTTACGCTTTTTTTCTGGCATATGAATGGAGCGAAAACGCCTCAACAATGAGTCAAGCGAACTCCGATCGACGTATGCCGAACGCCGTGCCAGCTCACTCCTTGCATTTGTTTACTGCCTTGAGACCAGCCACTGAGACTAGTGCTCCAATTTTATAACGCCCTTGCTTCGCCGATCGCTATTTTCAAACAGGCTAAAGGCCCGTTCACACTCTTGCAACCGAGTACGACCGAGAGAGACCAGACCGGTTTTTAAGCCTCTTGCGATCTCTTAGGACCAGCTCCGCTGCCTCGCATCCGGTCCTAAGAAGTCGCTCTCAGTCGTACTCGGTCGCAAGAGTGTGAACGGGCCTTAACGCAGTACATGACGAACCTCGCTGTACGAGAGTGCCTTCAAGCGCACACCAGCACCTCTCGCTACGTGGATGTGAGGAAATTGGCCACGGGAACAAGGTTATCATAAAACTGGTGTACTAGTCAGTCTCAGTGGGTGCCCTCGAGGTTGCAAAGAAATGCACGCAGTGAGCTGGCAGGTCGTTCAGCCTATTCGCTGATCTGCGTTCACTTGACTTCACCGTTGCGGCGTTTTCGCAAGACCCCGTGCCAGCAAAATCTTAATTGTTTCCTTATTCGCTGCGACTTATATATAGCGAAGAGAATAAAGGGGTGCTTACCGCATCGCGCGTATAAGTGTGGAGCAAACCACGACGATGTGAGCAATGGGGGCGATGAGACGATTGCAGACGACAGATGCAGGTCCCGGAGAAAACGGAACCGAAACTTCCCGTTGACAATTTCTTGCCGCCAGGGTGCATCTGAATCGCTTGGGGCGCTGCTATTTTGCACAGTGCGCATTGGGCCCTAGTCTGACGCGAAGCGTCCTTCGACACTGACAGGAGACGACGTACAGCCGAACGATGACGCAGCGCTCATTTTCATTCTGTGTCGATCTCACTGGCATGACGTTATACTTTTTTTCGCACAAACTTTGATTATCCTGTGCTCTGTTTTACTTTAAGCCAGACCCCAGCCGACGCCGTGGCCTGATGGTGCTAATCAAGCAGCGCCAAGAGTGCCTCGTTGCGGCCCTCGCACATTTGTTCGTTTGCTTTGACCGGCTAAACCAATCGCCTTACAGGGAATGCTCAATTCTCCCTTTTTCTGTTTTCTTTTTCTTTCTGCGTGATTGGTTTAGTTGGTCATAGCGTACCACAAAAGTAAACGAGCGAGCGAGCGTCATGACGGTGCATTTCATGGCGCCGCTTGATTAACTCCATCAAATTGTATATAGATTCGGCTGTGGTCTGACGTGAAATGAAACGCAGTATATATACAACATAACTTCGTCATTGAGTAGCACGGAGAATATTTGAGTTTTTAATGCGAAAGCATTAACTGGGGGGGGGGGGGGGGGGGGTCCCATGGAGCGAACGGGCGTTATCAGCTTTTGAAGCCTCGCCAAACGGCACCTAAATTCTTTTGTCCTATGGAGCGAAGACTGTGGTCTGTAGCAGCCAACTGATGAATAAATTTCCATTGGCTGGCGCGCGTCAGTTTCAACGAACGGCACCCCACATAGAAGCCTCTCAATGGCGGCCCCCGCGCCGGTAAATGGAACAGGGTGGCGCGCGCTCGCCGGAGGCCCCGGCGGGAGCGGGGTGAGCAGGGTGCTCCTCTCGCGCTTCAATACTCGCACCGCAAAACTCGAAGGAGCACTCAGCGGCGTTCATTTCGACATTCATGCTTTTACAGTCACATTTCATAGCCAGTGCTTAGGTGTCCTCGGAATTTTGGTTGCTATCTTAACAACTGCTGTGACATGGTTGGAAGCCGGGGCAATAAATGTCCGATTGGAATGTCCCTGATAAGAACAAAATTAATGGTGAATTCCGCTCGCAAATATCGAGCACTCCAAAAGTGCTCCATTTGGAGCGCGCATATTCCACTCGCAGATCTGGCTCGAGCTGGTCATCTTCCGCTCGTAGATCTCTGGCAGCGCCCACTCCACGGAACGCCTCAAACACCGCCAAACTTGCTCTGCGAGATTTCACGGATCTTTCCGGAAGTTGACAGAGCGGCCCACGTGATTTCCTTCTAAATCGGCAGTGCGCATGCGCGGCGAGGTTGGAGAGGTCGCCGGGCCGGTCCGATCGGCCACTGTCGGGTCGTCGAGTTGGATCTGTTCCGTGCGTCGGTTGTTTACTCGGGATTGTGACGGCTCGAACGCTTCTACCTCGCGTAGATCAGGGATACAAAGCCGGGACTGTAGATCGTGGTAAATCGTAAGCGCTGACATGCCCAAGGTTAGGCCTGTTCATTGTGCAGTCAATGTTTGTTTATCTTTTTACACTGCATCCCGCCGGCGTTTTCCCGTGCAATAAAGCAAGAAGAGATTAGGCAACGACCGCGCAAGTGATGGTTTGTTACCTCTGTTTTTATTAAAGTCGTACCAGAAATCTGAACTCCACCGCTGGCAATCGCTGTCCGTGCCCCGCCGCTTCGAGGCGTCCGAAAGGTATGTGACTGTGCCGAACGCGGACATCTTCGTTATTTGTGACATGGGCGCCGTTGTACGTATAATTTCGCCTGGTCTGTGTCGCGTGTTATTTCTGCAGCTAACCAGTGACAGTTGTCACTAGTCGTCGGAAAGATTAGTCGGCTGAGGCGTTGGTGGGCTTGTCAAGTTCGAGCAGCGGCCATTTTGAACGGCAAAGGGAGAAGCGGTGGGGAGAAGTGTGGGGGAGGTCGCTCCAAAAATGCAAGTTTATCTTCCCCTCGTGGATTCGGAGTGGGTACCGCGGAGCGGAATTTTACCTTCCTTGCAAACTTTGGAAAGCGCTCCGGATCTACGAGTGGAATTGACCATAAGAAGAAAAGGTAATGAGTGGACTTGGGGTAATTAAATATACATCCATCACGTTTTACTCGTACCCTCACGTCCGTCGCCACCCACAACGTTATTCCGACGGAATAGTTTCTTAATTTCGAGCGTCCCTTTTTTTAAATTAATCTTAGCCGTTGGGAGGGAAAACACCCTGTATACAGCAGGCACCTATCGCACTTAACGAGCAACCTCGATCAGTCACCAAAAAAAAAAAAGAGAAAAAAAAAAACATTCGAAATTATATCTTCGCTGGATTACCACCATCCTTTCCCCGCGGCTGACCTCGTTGTTTTCCGAGGCTGTTATTCGCAATCGTTCACCTTCGCCAACCTTCATACAGGTCACTGACAGCCTTACGCAGGACGTATCGAGCCCCGCAAATCTCATTATCGCTTCGCGGCCAACGAGCTTACGGGTATTAGCCGATAAGAACCGCAACGAATGAATCACGAAGCAGGAAGCGTAAACATAATAAAGAGCGCCCTGCGTTTCTGATCGCTATGCGAAGCGCATGTTAGTCTGCTTCGTGCGCAAGGGTTGCGAGGAAGTCAGAACGATGTCGAGCTCTGATTGGCTCCGACTGGAAGAATAGGGGGTAGACCTCGAGGCAGCTGGCATTAAGGTCCACTCACTATCCTTCCAATTGGAGCCAGTCAGAACTGGGCGTCGTACTGACGTCTCCGCAACCCGTGCGCAAGACGCAGGGGTTGGGGTAGCTAAATGTATTAGCGCTGGATTCACTAGAAAAACTAAATTTATTCCTTGGTGGTGTTTCACTTGAACTGGCGTCGGAGGCTAAATATTTGGGAGTTTTTTTTGCGTGCCATTTAAGATGGAATAAACATGTTGACTCTATTACAGCGAAAGCAAGCCGGTCACTGGGATTCATTAAACGCAATTTTAGGATGGCTCCCCCATTTTTGAAGGAGACATTATATTTTTCTCGTGTGCCATGTGCGGTCTGCTCTCGACTACGTCAGTGACCTATGGGATCCGTCAGTCAGAACCTTGTAGAGCAAATCGAAAACGTACAGAATCGTGCTGCGAAATATGTTGCCGGTAATTATGATTTTAGAGCTAGCAGAACTGAACTTAAATCGTCTCTAAATTGGATGCCTCTGAGTCAACGACGGAAATGGTTCGGTCTCAAAATAAAACAAAATTGTTTTACAACAATACAGCAATTAGTAGGTTCTCGTATATTTTTGAGCCTGCCTATGTATCAGAAGTAAGAGATAATAAAAAAAGTGTCCGTTTCACAGCAGAACTGATGTTTTCAATTGTTCTTTTTTTCCCGCGGTCCATTGAGGATTGCAATAACCTGCCAAGTGGTATTGTTGAAACGGCATTGTCAGATCTGTTTTTTTCAAAAGATTCAATGTTTCTTCTAACTACCGTTGTGCACTACTTCTTGAATAACTGTGTTTCACCTTGTGTTTGTAGTGTACACATTTTATGTATGTGCCCCGCCCCTTCCTACTATAATGCCTCTTCAGGCGATGTAGGTATGCAAATAAATAAATAAATAAAAAAGACGAACTTGCGCTCCGCATAAAATCACCGATGGTGTAAAAAAGACAAAAAAAAAAACAGGGCGTGGTTTATAATAGTTTTGCGCTTCAATCTTTGTGGTTCATTCTTTGGCATTCTCACCGTCTCACGTCGCAATGTGATCGGTTGCGCAGTAATTTAGAAGATGCTTACGACTCGCCCCGCCCTCCCTCTGTTTCTTAAACTGTCGGTAACTCTAAAAAAAAGTCCGTGCTTCTACTTTCCCTCACAACACTCGGAGATCACCTAAACCTATAGGTTTGAAAAAAAAAAAAAAAAGCCCTACTATTTCTCCGTCCGGGTTGAAGTTGTTGGTGTGCACTAGAACGGTCCACCAGTTCCTGATGCAGCCGTTGATCATCTGCATGTAGGTGTCCTCGTCGGCGGGGCCGGATCCCAGAAGAGGCAGGATGAAGGCCGCGAAAATGAGAATGGCTGCGGGAACCGTTATGCTGTAAAAGAAGGGGAAAAAAACGAAACAAGACGGAAGTTGAAGGAAGCCGAAGTTTTTTGGGTACGGACGCACAACCGGTGAGAGTCCGCACTTTCCCGATGTTCTCCCCGCTCCTCAGAAATCACGTCTGGTCCAACGCGCTGTTTCCAAACAAGCGGGAATTTACCCGCACTAGAGTCACTTTCCAGAGTATCGCCTTCGTTAACGCCCGCTCCGACTGTTCTATTTCAGCTTTGATCGGCCAATTTGACATGGAAACATATAAGGTGGAAGAGGCTGAAGGGATGCCAACTCCTGCCTCCTGAGCGGACGCGCCGCGAATTACCAACGAAGTTGGGACGCGACCAGTTCTAGACGCGGTACCTGAAATCACCGGTGAGACATGGTTGCTTAAAAACAATATTAATTGTGCCGCAAAACTTTGTCTACTAAAAGTTCATAAAATAATCACGCTCCTGTTTTTTTGTACTAATCTCCAATAAAGGTGCCTACAAAAAGAGCTTTTCCCGTTTGCCTTTACAAAAAAACATGCTTTCTAAATGCCCATGATGACCACAGTAAAAAAAAAAAAAAAAAACACACACACAGAAACCGAATTTGCACGAGGTGAAGCGTATGCGCATGCGCCGGGCCAACAGCAGTACCACTGCAGCGGTGTGACAACAAAGCCTCGTGAAGTGAACGCTGCCACTTAGTGACTGCTCCTAGCTTAAGCATACGTATACTCTTGCATGTCATAAACCTAAGGACCACTCACATTAGCGAATTGGTAAATGCAATAAGTACTTTAGACAGGAACCCTTGAGCTGTGGTAATAACCCATTCACAGGATCCCAAAGATACCTTTAGCTAGGAGACATTTATGGTCGGCGGCGAAAAAGTTCGCAATCCTTCGCGCTCAAGGTATGTGCTTGACACTCAAGAGCGTGGGTTGTTCAGCCAATTACAAAAAAAAATGTTAAATTTCAGTAAATAAATCTATCTGCGACGCCTAAATAGTAAATCCTTTTGCCGAATTTAACGAATAACCTAAACAATAATTTCATGTAAAGGGAATGGTGGTCGCAAAGTTAATAGTCGACAAGACGTCCAATGAGCACGCATAAGGTAGTATACTAGTCAAAATAATCTAGCCATCTCTACTGCTACAAGGCCATCAACGTTGAATTGGAACAGACGCGCTTAGTCGATGCATTTTTCAAGATATATATTAATTACGTTGTTGTTGTTTTTTTGTTCTTTTTTTTTTTTGGGGGGGGGGAGGGGGGGAGGTGGTTTAGGCTCAAAGATTGAAGAAAATAACAATTTGGGCGCCAAAATTCTTTATTAATATTTAAAAATTTTAAATCTAAAGAACAAAAGAAACGTGGGAAAAAATGTATGTTTTAAATGGCGAGTAACAAGCAATCTTAATTCAGCGCTTGAACTTTGCCACATCTCTAATTCGTTTCTTCTAAAATTGGATGAGTCCTGGACTTGGAACAATGAAGAATGTTTATTCTGTTCCTTCTTAAGTCAGAGCGCTGTAAAACCTGGTAGTCAGGTCTGAGTACGCACAAAAAGGCTAGAAGTGCAGCATCAGAAACCACTCCCTGGACTTGATTGAATGCGCCGGCAGTTGAGCACGCACATAAAGAAGGGGAACGCCATGACGTCGCCCTTTCGTCTCTGTTTCATTGGCCGCTTGGCTCGTGACGTCCGCTGTGGTCAGACTTATCTTGGAAAAAAGTATAGGAGGTTTATGTTCTGCGGCTGCCAAAAAATAGCGTACGTTGCCAAAAAAAGTAATAATAGGGAATTGTAGTAGACCGTTTTTCTCCTCCGCTACGGTATCCCTGAAGGAAACGCCGCAGCTGCGCGTGCGCGTCGCCAGCTTTGTCTGCATAGTTCAAGGTCTTGTGGCGGATTACGGAGCGCTATCCGGGTGCTTAGCGGGCTGCGGAAACGGTCTACTACAATTCCCCAATAAAGTGACTGCGTTTCCGTAGAAAGCCCGAGCGCGAAGCCTTGGAGTATGACCTCGGTGCACGTGTCAACGCTTTCACGCAAATACACCCAGCCAGACTCCATGGCCGTTGGCGAGTCTTATCGCGTTTGATACTTATCGGCGCCGGTAAGGACTTATAGTTTTTTTTTTTTTCTCTTTTCTTTTTAGTCCGCAGTTGACTTGGTAGGGCTTCGAAGGTGTATAAAAGAATCTTGCTGCAAGTCGGAAGCAACTTTGACGGCTTAACGGCAAAAACGACGCCTTTCGAGTGTTTAAAATACATGTTGGACCATATCGACCAACCTTCAGAGTTTTTGCATTAAGAATGTTACAACGATACAGTTTCGTCTAATATTAATCATTGTATCTTTACGATTAAAAATTTGGGCTTGCAGAACTAAGAAAAAAATAAAAATAAGCAGGCTTTCATGATCCGTTTTTTTTTTTTTTTTTTTTTTTTTAAGTTCGGGCGGGGCCAAAAGCAAGTTTCTACATAACCAAAACAAAAAGTATATATACCAAGTAGCCAAACCTTCACCGTCTCTTAAGTAGTTTCAACACAAACTCAAAAGCACAGGATCAAAACGTGTTTACACAACGGATTTTTCGCGCTTGATTAGATCCGATGGCGGTAACCCGCGCATGGAAGCACCAAAAATGTTATGGTTTAGAGCTTTTCGAGAAGCTTGATTGACCCAATTGGTGCTTAGCGGCAATATGTAGCGTTTGGAGCTAAGACGGAATGGGGTATGTACAGCTTAATGTGGATTTTGATCTAGAAAATAGACAATCGTGTAAGCTGGAAACAGCGTTATTTCGCAGAAAGCATTTTTGCACTTTAGGCTTGACCTTGGATCAAACGGTGACATCTTGATATAATAAGATTTGCGTAATAAATTATGCAGGTATGTTCTGAGACTTACAGATAAAATTTGAATTGTAAATGAAATGATAGCGCATCGTAGTAGTTTCTTGTTGTTATCTGAAAGCTCGCTTCGAACCGTCAAGGATTCCGATATTACAGATCATAATTTCCTGCTGCTTATCATGGATTATTTGGCTCGCTTTCCTTGGGAAATAAAAAGGGATCCGGTATTTTCTTATTCTTCGTGTATTTTGTCGGGCCTTTATGAAGCAGTCAAAAAATAATATATTTCAGAAACGCTCAGTAAACCCCGCCCTTCGGACGAACCATCGGGGTCTATCGTCAATCCTTAAAGTTATATAGTATATTAGTACGTGAACAGAAAGCCGGGTAACTTGTGAAATTCGCGTGCATAGCAGCTTAGGCTGTGTATTTAGTCAGACCTTCAGCAAGTTGTTTATAAACTAATACATTTAAGAAACACCTATTAAAACCCGGCCTTCGAACACAGCACTGGGGTTTAGCGTCAATCCTTGAAGTCATTCGGCGGTTGGTACTTAAACAAAAAGCCGGTTAGCTTTCAAAGTTCTCGTGCATAGCAGCTTACATCCTAAAGCCTTGATCTATAATGCCATGCACGACATTCTTTTTGTTTCTTGTGTTCGTTCCCGCTCTCAGATTGCCTGGGGGTGACCTAAATTAAAGTTACGCTACAACTTTTATTTTTTACTTGTATTAGTTTTTTTCCTACCACAAATAAATGACCTGTAAGTCAAGAATTTGCCGAGCCGAAAAATCAATTAAGCAGAAAGGATAAGGACAATGCAATTAACCGAAAAGGTCAATTGCCTCCCCATTCTTTAAAACACTCACCGTATGTAGCGACGAACCACTCGACCAATGTAAACAAGAAGCATGTTGTTTCTCAGTATCTGTTCTCGTGACTTAGTTGCGATGTACGAGACGACGAAGCCACTGCAAGGAATTGACGCGTTGTGAAGTGAAAGAAATCATGATCTTTAAGAAACATCACAGATGTAACGTTTTCTAGTATATTCCTTCACACTCATGAAAACCCGACACGTCAGGTTACCTTAGTGGTGGCACAATAAAAAATAACTATCTTAAGAAGCATCGGTACTTGTTCGAAGCTGAAAAGCACTCAACATATCTTTATGATTTGTTCACAATGAATAATGATTAACGCAAGGATTACTAAACTTGTGTTACATGTACTCTCAAGTTGAAAAAATGACAGCAAAGTTAACCTCTGGATCACTACGAAACATAAAATGAATAAAGCTAGATTCATTAATCCGAACTGAATTACGTATTTTAAGGACATAATCAATAAAAGTGTTTAAATACATTTGTTTAGGAATTCTTCATGAAAGCTATATACTCAAAAATGTTGTCAGTACATAAGCAGGCAATATGCATTCATAAAGAAAATAAACGCGCTTCCAGTCTGTTAAAAAAAGTTCAAGTTGGATCTCACGGAAAAAACTCCTAAACGTCGAATGTAATACTGGAGAGAAAAACTTAAATCTTAATACAACTAAATAATAAAACGAGGAATATAGGGGGTTTGTACGCCTAAAAAGACATTTAGATTATAGTAAGACATGATGCAGTTGCAACCTGGTTCGTGATAATATGGCAGCAGAAGACTGGAGAGGTCGAACTGCTACAAAACAACACTTTTTTCAGCGAAGCACTAGTTTCATTTCATTGTTTGTTTGTTTGATATATGCAATTAACACTCACCTCATAAAAAAGAAGCTGGTCACACTTAGAAAGGCATTTGGAATAAACTGGAACGAAACGTCTTCACTGATGTCCGCCCAACGGTACAAAGCATCTGAAAGTCATGCCATGGCTAGCCAGCTCTACTTGTGGCAAGTATATTGGCACGGAGTAGTCCCACGGCATTGGAAGAAAAAGACTCACGGAAAAATCCTGTCTGCACCAAAATATGCGCGTGGCCATAGACCACCCAAAATGCCATAATGACCTTGAAACCGGAAATGAATCGAAGAGGTTCATTTTCTGGCTTAATGTCCGTGTTCAGCAGAAACCGCGTATTGGTGATGGCCGAGAAGTAAAGCAATATCTGCATAGGAATGCCTGGCAAAAAAACGCAATACTGGTTGTAAGCACACTAAAACATTATGGAAAAGGAAGTTAAGTATTTCGAACAATTGCTGAAATCAAATCATTCTGCATCGTTAACATGCACACTGTTAACACAAATGATTAAGAATGTAGTGGGCTAGGAAAACCATACAATGCCTTAACTGTCTCCTATAGTCATTTATATTTTCATAATTCCTAGCGGTCGTTACTTTCCAAAATTGTAATGGATAGAACGTTAGTAGAAAAAAACCTTATGAAAGACACGCAGTATACAATATATATGTTGCCCCCAAACAAAACGTTGTTTAAGATTAATCAAAGTTATTGGTTCCGAACATCTAGCTGTATGATTTCCGTTTTAATAATTATACTTATTTAATCCTGATTTAAACACCTCATTCTTCTTGGCAAACCACGAACCTCTAACTTCCTCAGCCCTTCAACACGTAGTCAATCACACAACATTCACCCATGAAAGCGCGCTATTTTTACCCCCGCAAAGGCTTTTTTTTTTTCTTTTTAGCTTGGTTCCTGGAAGGTCATGTGTGCGTGTTAAATAGCTTCTGGGGGAATATTCTTTGGCAACAAAAGTGTTCGTCACATTCCCTATCGCATCTGGGCGATGTGCCCAAGGCGAGTAATAAAAATACACACAGCGAAATGTACTGCCCATGACCTGGTCAACTAAATACCGTCCATCTTTATCCTCATTGCTCAATCATTTACTCAGTGATAACGTCTTTGTGTGTTCTATCCGTATTCAAGGACACTACATAACGTATTTAAGACGCGATTTTGCTTTATCACGCTTTTCTTATGTTGTGCCAGCGAATTCATAAACAAACCGGGTGATATACGAGACCGTATATTTTTAAGGTCTCACTTGTATTCTACTCAGTGTTATGTATATCTCAAGCCTCTTTGGACGCTGCCAAAGAAAGAATGTAGTTAATTGCGTTTCGTGTTCATTTCAGCTGAAGCAAAGAGGGAACAATGTTAATTGCCACAAATAAAATATTGGAACTTCGGAGCATTATACACTGAACATAAACATCAGAATGCGATGTATGTCATTTCATGCCCTTGTACCTCTGCGTATATATCAGCCGCATTTGGGATCATTCATTATGGTTAAATGCGTCAGATTTATTGTTGCGCCTTTGGGTTGTTGACTAATAAATATTAACACAACATCCATATTAATATTTTGTAGCTATCAATTTGCGTATATGGTATATTTTTATCATAGTGTGCTTTGTGTGAAAAAAAAACATATGTATAGAGTACCTGACAAAACAGCCGGTTTCATTTTCCTTAAGAAGTGCGTGACGGAATAGGTGCTCGAACAAAACCTCAAGGCCACCTTCTCTCCCAAAATATACTGTCAAGAATGGCGCATCGTGAATGCTACTATAACGCGATCTCTGTACATTCAAGAGAAGCAAAAATACACCTTGAAGTCATGCGCTCTTCGGTGCATCTGGTGAACAGATGTATGCAGGAGCCCACCGCTTGAAGCATCTAAGCAATTACTTTTGTTTTTTTCTTACAAAGTTATGATACGCGAAGCTGCCTTGCTGCATGCTCCCCAATAATAGACTAAATAATATTTTTCATTGAGCTGATTTCCTTCGAAGTGCATAATAAATGAGCATCTGAACAATATGATGGGCTTGTGGAAACATGATGAAGCCATTTTAAAAACGTATTGTTCTCGGGGTAAGACAAAACCATGGATTTCTTTGCTGTCAACATATTTTAGGTGCCACGTCCTTAAACAAAAAAAAGCTTTACACCGCAGAAGGTTACAAAATAATTACAAAATAATATTTACCTATGATTATATTATAGTGGTTTAAAGCTATAATTTTCGAATAACTGGAGCAGTTATATGACTTCTATCATCTTGCCAGTAACGGCAAGTGATTAAAACGAACCAAAATAAGAACTTTTCATACAACCCTAGGTGGCAGGTCAACCTTTTTTTTTTTTAATTAACTCAAGTACTTAAAAGCTCATGCTATCAAGTAAGGTGGCATCTCGTATGGATCCAAATCATAACCCTCAAAAACCCAATACAAAAAACTTCAAATTCTTTACCAGAATGAACAAGTCCTAGGCTATTTACACAATCAAGATATGGTACGATCACGAGAGGTCAGTGGCTTAAATTAACGTGACCTAATAATGGGCACGAAATGTACTTTCGCAAAGGAAAGTGATGAAAGGTCAAGCAGTCTGCATATATCCTATTTTGAGCTCGGCTCAATCCTCGCATTACCCGTGCTACACCTGGGGAGTTACAATTATATCGAGATTTTTAAGATAAATTGACACTTAGTAGCGCAAGTCTTCTAGCAATCAAAATGATAAATAGACGTTAAAATACGTAGATAACAATAGAGATGTAAAAACAGAACTTAACCAGACATACTGACCGTGAGTTCTGCTCTCTGAGGGACAGTGACGCTCAAGAATCCACTCGAGTAGAGTGGCGATCACAACAAGGATGAATAGAGTGGAAAGGACTGCGCTGGAAAAAAAAATGAAACACGATTCAAAACGCTTTAGTCCAGGCAAAACTCAGCAACGGCATTCATGGTACACTTACATTGAAACCGCTTGAAGAGACGAGATTTCCTTCGGATCGTCTGTTCGGCAACTCGCCGCAGTGGCATTGGCTCCGTACAAATAGAGCACTACGAATATATGAAAAAAAAAAAACACGAAGAAAAGGTGAAAACGCAGGCAAGTTTTTATGCGTCTTTTCCGTCTTCAACCTGAGACTAAAAAATAACAAAAGGTGAAAAGCACACCAAGCATCTGAAACCAAGCGACTATTTTGCATTCCTTGTCTCAGGGATTGGACTATGGTGCTTTCTAGCTAGCTTGGTTGTCTATTCTTTCTTCCAGCAAAACCAAAAGAAAAGAAATTGGGAGCACCAACCTAAAAGCGAAGAACCACTTTTCACTTTTTTCACATTTGTTTCCAGACTTAATTGCTTTTTGGTAATTTAAACATACAGGATATGATAATGACAACCTTAAAATGACGCCTAAAAGTATACTTGGACCACTTCGAAGACTGTGGGGAGAGCCTTCAACAACACTCATTCTTAAAACCCATAAGTACTTGTTGTTTTCAACTAGACAAAAGTGGCGTTGGCTGATACATTTTCTATATAATATTATAGTCATAACCGTTCTTTAACATCTCCTATTTCCCGATTCTTTTATGCATAAAACCTCAGAACTCTTCGTATCATTCTTGAAAGTGCTTAGTAATCTTATTACCTTGTGCCTTTCCTTATCGGTCAAAATCCTATCATTTAAATCAGACCTTCATACTCAAAAGATCTCAGCGTAAAGGAATATCATGGACAACCCCAATTGACAAAGTAACGCCACATGCTGTGCCTTTTCGGACAGAGAGCAAAACAATTAGTTTTAAAAAATGAAAGACGTTTACAAATTTTTGTAATGCGAAACTAGAGCAAAGCTCTTGAGGAGGAGAAGAGGAGGGTACGGAGAGGAGGGTACGCCCCTCCCTCTTCTTTCGTAACCTCCCCTCCTCCTCTCACGTGTTGGCGCCACTTGTTGAGGTCACGTGACGTCAATTCGCCGGCTAAATTTAGCGGAGAAACTTAACCCACTAAAGTTAGCGGGGAAATGTTTCCGCTAAACTTAGTGGGGATATTTTCCTACTGAATTTAGCGGAAAAGTTTCCCCCGCTAAATTTAGCGAAAGCATTATCCTGCTAGATTTAGCGGAAAAAATTTCCCGCTAACTTTAGCGTTGAAACGTCCCATAATGCAATGCGCGGTTACGCCGACGCCGACGCCGCTCAACCCGTAAACGGGCGCCTAAGAGCTGCGCTCTAAAAGGAAAGAATTCCCCCTACTTTGGCTTGACAAAGATTTGTATTCATAAGCATAAGTCAAAGAAATAAGAAAAAAAAAAAGACGACGTCCGCGCAAATTTATTACTGTATAAACGTCCAAACATACGTCCGGGTAGTACGCGAAATGGATAGCGTGAGGTCTTCCACTCTGTTGAGAAAGCGAATGATGCGTTTTGCCAGAACCTCAAGTAGGATTTAATTATTATAGAAAATTGCGTGCCATGCCGCGTGATTTCTGCACTCTTTCAAAAAAACACAGACGAAGCATGTGATGAGACCGGCATTTTGAAGCAGAAAAGCCGGACGGACCGCATTTCCATAAACGTCCAGTAAAAGAAGGTACACAGCGCAGCACTGTTAGCGAGAACAAGCTACCGCGCTGTCTTTCCTGTTTTTTCTTTTTTGAAATTCAAATTCTGCCATAAAATCTACATACTAGTCTAACGGAAATTACTCACTGAGGGGAATGAACTCAGCGAGGAGATTTGGTGCCCGTCTATGCTCTGAACGACTAAAATGCGAGAAGCGACGATGTCACGCTCGCGATAAAAGTGTCGCGCTGTGTATACATATCGCCGCTCGTACATCTCATACACGCTATTACTGTTTTTTTCTTTCTCTTTATGTTGTACAGGTAGACAGTGACCATCAAACCATTAGTCATCGAGCGCGTATGAGCAGAACCAATCTTGAACCTAGAAGCTAAACAGTGACGCTTGCTTGCACTAAGCTTGCACTAAGGCTAGAAAGCGCAGTCTAAAGTACCCTGTAAACCCTATTGCGCAGTGTAAATAAATACACGGCAGCTAGTGACTTAGGAGAACCTGTGCGAGTCATGAATGTTAATGTCAGAACTTCAAATTTCCAGTATGAAAATCGGTGGCAGTGTTGCGCTTATCTCCTTTTTTTTTTTTTCTTCAAGCCTTACAACAGCAACAAACACAATTTAACGCGTCTTGCTTGTTTAGATATCGATTAGGCCTTTTTCCCTTAATCGCATCTATCGTTTGCACCTCTTAATTACAAAACCCGAGCGTTCACTTTCCCGCAGATCAAGGGCGAGATAAACGTCTGGATGGACGTAAATAAGCGGGCGAAGGGCGCGGCTCGGAAAATGTTATTATTCAATACAGCGAGCCACTCTATAGGTCATTGAACATAATTCTGTGCTCAGAATCTCCACACAGTGCCGCATATTGCGCTTGGGGTCTACTTCATTTGTGTGCCACAATAAAAAAAAGGCATAGATTATTGCTCCTTTAAGAAACAGTAAATACGGCAATACTGTTGCGAGTGCTACATGAGTTATTAAAATAGATTAATTTACCACTCCACTTACCGGATCTCAACACAAAATTTATGTCTTCTGACGAGCAGAGAGATGGTATGCAAATGGCTCCCCTGATATCGACGTTTTGGTAACGCTCAGCTGACGTTGCAGCGAGCGGGTTGAGGCGTCCCTGAAAAAGAAGCGCAGAGTTTTGATCTAAACCCAAATAAGCCTCGTTCTTGATCAACAAAGTGAAGAAGTAGTTAAATGTTCATAGCTGATTTTAAAGATTAGCCGGAATTGAAAACAGATAGGCAGAATACGAACAAAAATTAGTTCCTGAAAACTTACGAATTGAGTAATATAAGTGCGCCTGCGGACGTTAACCATCGCCTTTCTGTATACTGTGAGGCACGCGTCATAAAATTAATTAAAATGATATATATCTTATTTTACACTGAGCAGGGATAAAGATAATGTAATAATTGCGTTCAAGGCAATCTCGTAAACTCTTGTTTCTATGTTCAAGTACACCTGCGTACTATACACACGTACTAGATGGGTTTGACAGTTGGATACCCTATGGGACATGAATTATTGACTAGCATGAACCACTTATAATTCATATTGACTACCCCTGCTTGCTCAATAGAGCAGGTATCAGTGAATCCCTCTGATTTCTTTAGTCACGGCAATCGCACGTGAAACTTGCAGATGGCCCATGTCCCAATTGCAGCCCTCAAAATAACGTAATGGTGCAGCACCAAACTGATTTTCCGAGACCTATGCTGTTTACATATTTTCCAAAAAGGACAAAGCATAAACCGTGGCAATGTGATTTTGGTCTACGTTTTCAGGAAAATAGGTTCTACACGATCTAGGGAAACCTCACCTTCACGCAAGGAACCAAAAACGCATACCTGGAGTTCACCAATCTCGTGGAAACTCTCGATTATTTTGGTGTAGTAGTCCTTCGGCAGTGCGAAGAAGAGAGAGCAGTACTGGCCCTTGAAGTACAGCTCCCCGCTGGAAGAGCGCACCCTCGCTCTCAGGCACTGCTCGTAGCCGCCCATGTTGACGTACGTTCCTTCCAGAGCATTTGGCGCGAATAACGCGTTGGACATGGCCACTGCAAGGTTGTCAGTGTTCATTATAAGAAATGGTAAAAATAATTACTCTCCTCTAAGTTATCAATCACTGACAGAATGTTATCAATCACTGACAGAACCGCGGAGAAGTTCTTCACCCGATAGATATTTGACGACCTGTGGTGACCTTGGTGTGCGCACACTCGGCCCAGGCACGACGGGAGGCTATAAGCGAGTGCTGTAAGCTCCGAAACAGACACCCTGCGCCTATATCCTGTGAATACCTATACTTAACATTTTCAACTTTACTTCCATATGAATGGTCCTAAAGTTTGCTTAAAGGTATAATTGAGCACCGCGTTTCATTTCTTTATGACTGCAAACTCTTACGAACAGGCAGGTTGAATATACGCGTGTATGCTTTGCGATTGCTGAAAAAAAAGAAGAAAAAAAAAAACAATCCCTTAGATATCAATAAAAGCTGCATGCTTAACAGCTGATTTCTTTTTTGTAGTTTGCCCTCTATGCAACCGTCACAGCGAAACCTTTGACAAACAATTTAAAACCTACTTTAAATTTGATGAAATTATTATTTCTTAGATGGAGTGAAACATTACGCTTTTAACCCTGACTGTAAGTAAAGCCCGTGCTACAACATATAAGCGCCTGCATATTCATTCGAACAAAACTGTCACTCCGAACTACGCCAGCTTTATATACTTCATCAATTTGGCAACCGGCCGTGATAAATCCCTTTAATTACGCCTTAAAAATGTACTAAAACGTATCCTAATATCAAAATGCAGGTTGAGGTCGACCTCGATACAATTCAAAGTTTAAGAAGAATGAAAATTATAAACTCCCAGATCATTACAAAAAAAGAAAACAGTCCGTTACCGATCGTTCTTTTGAATGTTAAAATTAACAAGCTGTTACTCCCGCTTCTAATATAACTTCCTTATCAATAACAACTACATGTCATTGCACATTTTGAGATCTGACAACCTGAAAGCATCACGCTTGTCAATACTGTACGACCACCAAGAGGAAGGAACACACTGAGTTATTATTGCGGTTTCCTTAACATATGAAGAAACTTGGTGTAGGCTTTTAGGTGCCGAACTGTAGACATTAAACATACTTCAAATACCTCGTCCGGACAGAGGAAGCAGCACTGCAATATTTGGTGGCTAGATGGTAAATCACGAAGTCTGTACAGTAATTGGACCCAAGGATGCAATCTGCTCTCGAAACTCGCATTTCACGTTTGACGAGTTCGGTATTTTCAATGGAGATCCGACCAATTTCTGCGCCTTATTATTTGCCAAGCTTCCTCCGTGGATTAATACAATTCTGCACTGAGTGCCTACAAGTATACTCGCCAAGATGTTTAAGTAATAATGATGCAACGAGTTAAAAAAATTATGCATTCATTTATCCTCTGAGATCTCGCACCATGAAGAAAACTGGCGAGTTACAAAGAGAGACACATAGTCCTAATCAAGTTCTAAACGGTTTCCTATACAAGTGGGATTGCTTTTTTATCTATGTGATATGCGGATGCGTTAGTAATTGGCATATCGAATCCATCGTTTTGTATTGCAGTCTTTGTGAGATTAAGGAAACTATACATCCGTTGAAACAAGGATATGGCACTTTCGACCCGGCGCTGTGAACGCATGACATCTGCGCACCTGTCGTTTTTACCAGATTAAATAAATATTGCTTGTTAAGGGTGGAAGCTATGGTGAAAAAAAAAATATTCAGCGAACAATCCCCGAAGTTTGTCGGGCGGGCGCAAGGTGCACGAGCTGGGCTAAATTTTTCGCTGCATATTTGACCCCATACATGGGAGGACCTTTATACAAGTAAAGTAAAAACTGGTTTACACAATAATCTTTTCAGAAGGAACACAACCTTTACTTAGAAGAAACCAATAAAGTTTAGGAGTAATAAAATACAAAAATAACGTGTTTGATTTTTTTTAGATATCTCGAATAAACCTTTTTCTGAGTTAAAGTGAGTGAGAGCGCTCTGTTGTGTCTGTCCTTCCTATGCCCCCGTCTTCAAAGCGCAATCATGTTTTCTAAGAGTCATTTTGACTGCTTTTTCACTATACCTTTAGTAATTAAGAGCGATCAAGGCATTTTTATTGTTCTCGAGTTGCAACTTCTGGTTCATCTTTCATTGTTGCCGCTCAACATAGTACCTTCAATGCTTTTCTAATGACCTTCACCACCGATGAACGTTCTTTTCTATGCATCAAGCGCGCATTGTTAGCAGTCCCAGCGTGGACGGAAGTTCACCAAAGGTCACTGGCCAGTTTAATAGGAGCTACCATAAAAACATTAAAATTGAGCAATTGCAACGCAACGAACATTGTATTCGTAATGTCTTTAAACAGTGCCGTACTCTAAACAAGAGTATGGCGCCAGCTTGCACCATGTGAAGCACTTATATATGCAAGCATGTTTGCTTGCATATTTTTGCTTGCATGTATAAAGCTAGCAGCACTAAGCGTTTGTTGTAAAGAGATAGATGCCAACAGTATCGTGAACGAAAATGAACTAATAATCTGCATTTGGAAACAATTACATTAAATGTACTTTAAAACTTAATGTGTCAATTTAAAGAAAATGTACAGCTCTTAATGTAAAAAATGTACTAGGCACGCGGAGTTTTTTAATGCAAACCGTAAACCTCAATTACAATTTTGGTGTAGAAATTTGTGAAAACCGGAGTTTCTACATGGGGAATTTACTGAGGGTATTTTATTATTTTTATTAACGAGCCTCGGACTTCGGGTGATAATAAGAATACCTCAACCTTCCACATGTTCAAACAATCACATACGTCAAAGATGCATGAACGATGCGATTAAAAAATATATATCGACTCAAGAATTTCATTTTATATTCCGAGTTTTTGTTTTTTATAGGTGACGAAATAAAGTGAGTGAAGCAGTTAGCTTTTTTTTAACTTTAACAAAGCAAATAAATTCGAGGGAACCCGGCAAAGCTTGTCGCTTTTGAATGCAAAGTCTAACGAGTGAGGAAAAACCTAATAGACAGAGTAAAGGCAAGTAGCCACCTTCTCTTATTCATGATGCCGCGTAAAATATCGCTTCTCAGTGACCAAAACGTCGGGTGCCTGTACACTTGCTGCCGAGTTTTTGTATTTGTATCAGTGCTGAATGTTATATAACAGTAATTTATTCTTTCAATACAAAAAAAAGACAGCACGTTTTCAGATTACCCAATTTCTCTTTCCCTAACTTACGTAGAGTTATTTCCCAAACAGCGTATGCCCACTAAACCATATCCATACTTACCTGAAGGGCCCATTCTAAGAAATAGCACGCTAACACCTATTTAAACCCCGGATAATTAACGGAACTTTTTTTTTATTTACGCCACTTGAAAGAAGGTAATAACTATTCAGAATGACATTATCGCTGAAATATGTCATATTTAATCAAATTTTATGGTAATATTCTACCTTTACCCGAATAATCAATTTACGTAACGTTCAATTTGTTCATGTAATCATTTTGCATTCATGTACGTGAAGCGTCTGTTGATTGTTTCAGTTTCGGCGCTTTTCCTTGCTTTCATTCTTTCGTTCTTCCTTTTCCTTTTTTCATGTGTGTGTCCTTAGTTAATGCGGAGAGGAAGGCGGGAACAAAAGGTATCGCAGCGTGACGTGAGCCAAAAGCCTGCTGATTAGAATATATAATCAAAAACAACCTGAGCGTTCTAAACGGCATCACACTCGTATAGTCCATACACCCTAATCCATACTCTGTCTCATTTGTGAAGCTGCGTTGCTACAAATGCGAATCGAATTGCAGCTTAAAGAATAATTAAAAAGGTGTAGCTAAACAGTTAAGATAGAGGCATTAACCCAAGAAATAAGAGAATATGTATAGTTCCCCGAAGTATTTAGGAGTACACCAACCTGGTGAAATCGGGGTACATGACATTGCATATAATAAGACAAAAAATGAAAGCCGTTTACAACTCCCTGTCACACCGAATTCGAGAGCAGCTCTTGAGGAGGAGGAGGGAAGGGTACTGAGGGGAGGGTATACCCTTCCTCCCTCCTCTTCACCTCGTGATCCTGCCTGCTACTCCTCCTCCCCCTTCTTCTCCTTCACCTCCTCCTCCTCCCCTTCCTCCTCAGGGGGGGGGGGGGGGGGCTCACGTGACCTCGGGTTACGCCGACGCCGACGCCGCTCAAGCCGGAAACGGGGGCCTAAGAGTAGCACTCTAAAAACAAAATAATTTAACAGACGCGCGTAATTTGTTTTACTTCTTTTAAGACAAACGGAAGTTTAGTTACCAGAGCCTAAAATGAAATCAGTAGTTTTCAAACTGTTATTCAGCAGATTTTTATTATAGCCATAAACAAACAAAAAGTATCAAATCATTTTTTAAAAAGATAGAGATCTCTGTGGGATTCAACTTAAACAACATCGAAGTCCCCACTCACGATTGCAGAGCAGATTTTATATTCACGTAATTTGGATTTCAGCTAGAGTTACAACACAGTAGAAAGTAAAAGAAACTGAGGGTCTTTTTTATAGGGGGACATGGCCACGTTCACAGCCGGCTTGCACGTCGTCCGCTTTGCAACAAGACCAGAGATAAACGCTTGCACGAGATTGACCTTGGCCCTGCCTCTGCCACGACAAAAAAAAAAAAATAATAAGCGCAGCGCAAAACAATGCAGAATACCTGCTCGTAAATACTTCATTATCTCATTATGCGCCGTCTTTCGCCATCAGTCTAGAGTCCGCGATTTTCGTTTTCCCGCTGAGGCTCCTAATGTTATATATTTTCCAGATTACTGGGGGTAAATATTTGTATAAAGGGCTAGATAATGTCACATTCCGAACTGACGAGGTTTTAGCAAGACTACGCTCACGTTCATGACCGTCAGCTCCTTTTATGTACGTATGCTAAAGGGAAATACGTTTGAGTAAGGAATGTTATCCTAAAGCGGGGAAAGAAGCATTATTGCGGCATATGCGTCTATTGAAGGGGTGGTTTGCACGTTTGACGTCTTCAAGATGCCTGTCCACCACGCATTATGATATAAGGATGGCATTCTGGGCTTGGTTAATGTAATCGAGATATTCTTAATGTAGTACCGTCTCGAAAGTCAAATGGAACATATACTGGTGCACTTAAATTCTTTATGGGCTTAGTATCTTCAAACCAAAACGTAGCTTGAGCTTGAAACACATGCGTCTCTGTTGATAACAAAATCATCGCACTTGAAGTTTAAACAAACTGCAAGATTTGTGTTGAAATAAGAAATATTGTATTAAAAGATTCGCTTTAAAAGCCAAGGTAAAGACAAGAGTTGTATTTTAACAACAAATTTTCTTAAACTGTAATGCGTGTTTTGTGTTCTTTTCTTTGTATTGCCTTGTCATGTGGCAAAAACCCTCCTGCCTGGATCCATTGTGGGGCCTGCAGTATTGATAAGTAAAAAATTTATTAAAATACTGATGATTCCATTTTTTAACCTAGAATCAGAAACGTCCAATTTTTCGGGAACATTATATCGATCCAGCTTTTTTGGGTTTCTTAAAATCCCCCGAAACGGTTAATAAGGGTAGGGAAGTCTCCAATAATTTGGTTTGGGCGAATGCGTTTCGGCATGCGCATATGGGTGTAAAACGATATTACGATCCGTTTTTTTTTTCTTTATTTTTTTTTAGGTAAATTCAAACGGCGGACAAATCTTAAAAACGAGGCCAGCGAACAGAGGAAAATATACGTGTTGAGTGACTTCAAAGTCATAACGGACAGCTTCGCAGTCTATAAACTCTATTATTACTGTATACCGAAGGTAGGACTACAAGTCCGAGCTTGTTCCTTTGATAGCTGCTTTTGCTGCGTGTACTACAAAGGAAGTTCAGCACCACTAAAAGTTGGGACCTTGGGCACGTAGGCTTGGTGTTACACCAAGCTAACATATAACCGTCACGCAGCGCTCGTGACACTCTATTCGACTTTTTCTGGTGTCTGGTCACTCTGGCATTAAAAAGGACAAAAGATCAAGAGACGCTGCGATGTAGCCGCACTATTCTTTAATTTTGCTAGTAGAACATTTCGCACAAACTGGCGTCATCCAATAGAGGAGCACCGCAGCTGTCTGAAAATAACAACTCTGAACCCAATACACCATTTTCAACCATTGCCAGTTCGAGGCGTTTAGGACAGAGAACACGTGAGCACACCACGAGCGCTGGCACAAGCAAGTGGTGTGCACGCGCTCGCTCAAAACCATGTGATTTGTCGCTCGTGAGTTCATAAAACCCGAATATGTGTTTTTATTATAGAAGTCCAATGGCGCCGTCATCTTGAATGTCGTCGCTTCCGGTATAGGCGAAAGCTTTGTTTTGCCATCACCACTTCAATAGCGTCAATAGCGTCACGTCAATTCAGTATATAAGCGTAACCGTCACACATTCTCGTTTGGTCTCACCTCTATTTTTTTTTTTTTTTTGCTATTTTCAAGTTGAAATGTTTTACTCTTTTTTCCACGTCCATACCGGACATGTCCACCGGGTGGCTGAGGACAAAAGTAAACGAAAAAGTGGTGTACCTCACCTTGTTCTGAAATCGTCGATTCGAGATGTTTGGACAGAGAACACGCGCGCTTTCAAGAAGCGTTGGCACGAAACTGTTGCTTGAAAGTATGTCATGATCACTCTGAATTTAGAGAACGCTACCATATGTTTCCATAGCAGAGACTCTGGATCCGTGATTTCAAAAAAGTGGATTTCGAAGAAGTTGCATTAGCCGATGAAATACGACAAATCCCAAAGTCTAGCGAGCATGTAACCCACCACGCTAGTGTGTTTTGCTCTGGAAGAGAAGTTACGCACCAAACAGACGAATGTCAGAAAAGATACAACTAAACAAAATAAACGGCCCACGAAAGAGTCACACAAGCATTTTTCTGTAATCGATTCCTGGCGCGTCCAAGGACTATATTCAGGACAATGTTGTGTAAGAAAGAAAAAGCTATTAACAAACATGCTCTAAAGCACATTGGAAGCCGACTAGAACTGTTTACGCGCGCTCTTTATTTATTTTGTATTAATCTTCTTTAAATGCCACATTAAGTTTACCTTAGTTATGAAAAATGGGACATACAAATCGAGCTTTTAAAACTTCGATAATCTTGGTCCGACTCTAGGGAGCAGGCCCCGGACTAACTTTAAGACGTTTGTTTACGTGACACTCAAGAATCATCTGGTTCGCAGACACATTCCTCAGGTGCGAGACCATGTACCTGGGTTTTGAATCCTCATTTAGTCAAGAACATTCGAGGATATCATACCAGAGAGAAGGCGATGTCTCAACTTTTGTAGGAATGTGTTTACGAACAAAGTGCGCCGGTAAATATACCTGCAGTAACTTCATTTCTAAGACGGACTTGCTAGAAACAACGCCTAGTGGAATTCCCTTGGCTAATTTATAGTGATCCTAAAGTTCTCTATGCTCGCGCCTTTTGTGCGGTAAATGCGAGCGCATGCTTGAACTTCAAGCACGCGCTCGCATTTACCGTACTAAAGGCGCTAGCATGGAGAACTTTAGGATGACAAGCAAAAAAATACCAACAAAAAAGCTCTCCGAAATTGCTCCAAATTCACCATGTGGATTTTCCACAAGGCTGTAAAAAAAGCCTGCCGAAAGAAAGCCCGCTTGAGTCTCGACTTCACTTCCCGCTCCGCTCATGTACTAGCTTAGGGAGTGCTTTATTTAGCCCAATCATAAACTAAGACGTTTTTTCCTAGCAAGCAGGCCCAGATGATTAAACTCTCAGTTAATATCAAGGAAAGACATCTTCAGCAATTTCCTAGGACGTAAACTCAATATTTGCATATCCCCCTAATTTTCGATATGAGTTCATAAACCCAATCACCGACTCACTGCGGAGTGCCCATGCCTTTCGCTGCTGCAATCCACGAAACGTCTTGAGCAGGGCGGAAGAGCAATCTCCCGACACCTCGGGTCTTGTGATCACATCCGAAATGAGAGGCAGGAACTTTTGCACGGCCACCTTCAGGATCTCATTCATATCCTCCTCGTAGTTTCGTGTGAAGCTCTCTTCATCTTGCGCTTCTGAGGATCGCAGCGTGTACGGCGTTGCCGCTAGCAGCAACGCCAGCGAAACCCACCAGCCCGAGAGACCCATGGCGGAACAAAAACCCTCACAACTTCGGCGGCACGCTATATAATACTTCAAGACTGGGGCGTCTCGGCAACTGTGACGTTTGAGCCAAGAGAGGGAAGGTAGTATTTTCGAGACTGACGAAATTGATTCCAGCTGTTCAAGGTGTTACTCAGTTTCGGAGAGGGAACGATACATTCAAATGGAGAGAGTGATAAGTCAGTCTCCTTTACTTGGTCTTCCGCCTCTCCTAGTGACGACACTCCTGGTTTAACCCCAGACCTAGTCTTTTCAAGAATGAAAAGGGTGTCTCTGAGTAAATCTCACTTCGGAGTGCACGTAATGATCCGGTGTTCCGCGGATTGTGTTTTTGTGTGAAGGACGTAAGCGCCACGGTAGTACGGCGTAAATAATCTTTCAGCCTAATCGTACACATCACTGCTTCTGGCGAGGACATTTAAGAGAGTGGAGCGTGTGGCCTTCCTCTTCAGATTGGAATCGTTTTTTTTTTTTCGTTTTTTTTTTCTTCGTTTTTTTTTCCCCGTTGCCTTGAGCCAGAGAACATACGGGTCAGGCGTCAACAGAAAATAAACGCGTGCTTTAGGTTCAGTGGCAGGTCATGCAACGCTTTGTAGCAGCCGCCTGCTGACCGTGAATTGCATTGAACGCATGCCACGCATTTTGAAACACGAAGCGTTTTTTTTTTACGTATTCACTTGGGTTAATTTATTTATTAATCGAGGTATAAACCGTGTTCGGGCGTCGGTTGCCATATTGAAATATGACGTATTGGTGTTGGGCCAGACACGTACGTAGCGCGTTACTAGTAACGAATTACTTCTAACTAGTTACTTTTTTCGGTAACGAGTAACGTATTTAATTAGTTTAAGGCCAAGTAAGGAGTAACGGTCTTTCGTTACATTTGAGGAGCAACGTATACAACGCAGTTTCAACTGTCTCGTTTTAATTCTAACCTGAGTATGCGTCTCTTGCGACAAAGGCAGATAAGCAACCCGAAATACAGCTAAATAGTATGCCAGTAGAGCAACGTTAATCGCTGAGTATAGAATCGTGTACAGGCCGAATGTAAACCCAGAGGTTGTCAACGTGGGAAGGCACAGAACTCATTGTCAACTGCAAACATTAGAAGCAGAGATATAAAACAATAGAAGGGAATCTCAGATTCACCAGCTCTTCCTGAAGCTCAACACTGCCGCTCATTTGAGCGTGTCAGTAGAACGACTCCTTAGCGTCGCCGGAGATGTATTCTCAATGAAGCGGGGGAAAAATAGCTGATAAAAACTACCAGAGGCAGCTACTGCTTAAGTGCAACGACTGCTGAAAACAAGAAATAAATCATGAAACGAAAGCAGTTGTGTGTTTGCTCGTCAAATTAACTGTAAAAGTAACTCGCTACTTTTGAGCTAAGGTAACGCGTCCTTTTTGAGTATCGGTAACGAGTAACATATTTAGTTACTTTTCGAGTTAGTGACGACTAAGTGTATTTAGTTACATTCTTTTGGTGACGTTTACGTGTCTGTGTCGAGCAACAAAAACTAAAGTAAATTGTTTAAGCGTAACTAAAGCAAAAAGCATATATAAAAAAAGTAAAAATATTGGCATGAATCTGTTGAATTCTAGCGCCTTCCAATCGACACGCAAAGTAGTTTGCTATTTTCCCCAACTCAGCTACGTCAGAATTCAATATTGTACGCCAAGAACAAAAGCAGTGTATAGCAATGAACCATATTGAGTGTCTGGGTTTTCGCACAGGACAATCGCCAGTGCAGTAAGCTGAATTAAAATAACTTTTCTTTATCATTCTACTAAACCAGGAGAGCAGAGGACGTGTTACGCGTGCATAAAGCACGCGTCGTATTTTGTTATGCTTACGTCAAGATTTACGTGGTGTTGGATGCGTTCCACACACGACACACTCTTCTGCTCCGCGGGTTTATGATTAGGATCAAGGCAAATGTAATTGTATTTAGCAGTGGAGTGTGTGAGGAGGTAAGGAGGACGTTCCGTGGGTTTTTCTTCTTCTGAGGGTGCGTGTAGCACTTTGGGTTTTTAGTGATCTTGGATTGCGAGTACCGCCTTAGGGTAACTGAAGTAATCGCAAAGGGAGGTTTATCGCGCCGGTTACGCTATCTATTGGTTGCTGTACAAAGTCAGGACGTCATTCGCCCGTTGCTCTATCTTTTGATGCAATACAATTTACGCCATGACGTCAAGAGATTACGTGGGTTTGCGCAAACTTTAGCGCAAAATTTATGTTTACCATAAAAACCACAAAAGATTCATTTTCCATCGCAGACAATATGCACTCAACGAGTGGCGTACCAACTTGTTTTTGAGTGAGGGGGCAAACCCGACCCTCTCCCCCCCCCCTTAATCGAAAATTCGGCGCAACTTTTGTCGAACTTTTCTAAAGATGTGGCAATGATTCGGCAAAATTACAACGTTACGAGACTTAACATTAATATTTTGTTTTTTCTCACGAAAAAAATTTTGCTTCTTCTTCTTAAAATAAATACAACTTGTAGTGCCTATTGAAACAGTTATGATTAAATAAGGTGATATTCTACAAGATAATTGTATCGATGTCGCTTTTGTGTGTTTACTGGCAATTTTAGTGTTTGCTTGCAGAAAGTGGCGTGACAACGAGGTTGGGTAGTAGCCGGAGCAGTTACGAATCACACTACGAGAGTTTTGATTTTGGGGCTTCATCAGCGCACGCCTGCAAGTGTGTTTACATTGTTAAAATAAAGACAATCACTGCGTTCTTACTTTCTCTGGGAGTCACCGTTTCGTGCGCGAAAACGAATGCAACGGTTGTTTAGCCTTCACCAGAAGAGATAACAATACTGTAAATATGCATGTTTTTCGATTTGAGTCACTTGACGTCAGCTTTGCATGAAAGTGCGCGTTCCATATTCGCAACGTGCCGTTTTTCACCTTTAAAATTCCGGTTTCTGGCGTTAGGACACACACGGACGTTTAGGAAGATGGGGAGAGTTAGGAATGTCGGATGTGCAACGTCGAGCATGATAGTTCTGTGTTTAACGAATACTTTTCATCAGTGTTTACTAACGAGTGCTTGGACTTCGTCCCCACTCTCCCTGAAGAGCTTTACGAGCGCATGCATCCTATTAACGTTGACTCCGCTGGTATTAAAACATTGATTGATAAACTAAAACTTACTTCGTCCGCTGGAACCGATAACATCAACCCTAAAATTTAAAAGAAACACCCGTGTTATTTCTAGTGAGTATTTGAAACTCATCTTCATTCAGTCCTCATCTCAAAGCTGCCTTCCATCTGACCAAAAGGTGGGAAGGGTAATTCCCAGTCTTTAAACAGGGCAGCCGCTCTTCCGCATCTAATTATCGCCCTAATTCATTGACTTCAATTTCTTGCAAACTACTTGAGCATATCCTCTACTCCAATATCATGAGGCACCTATCATCCCATTTCTTTTCTTTAAACAGCAGCACGGTTTTCAAAAGGTACTTTCCTGCGAAACGCAACTCTGCGACTTCATCCATGACTTGCACACTAACCTTGAATGTCACGTCCAAACTGACGCAGCTTTTTTTTTTTTTTTTTTTCCAAAGCGTTCGGCCGTGTCCTCCATCAACGCCTTCTTTCTAAGCTATCATCTTTTTGCCTCGACCAATAACCGTTTGCATGGATTCGTGACTTTCTTTTTTCCCGTGTACAGGTCACGTCCATGATGATCATGAATCTTCCTTAATAAATGTATCTCCTGGTGTTCCCCTGGGGTTCGTACTTGGGCCCTTACTCTTTTTAATATTTATTAATGACATTCCCATTGGGATTTCTTCAAAAAAACGCTTTTTCGCCGACGACTGCGTCATCCATATCAAAGTAACTTGTGTGCAAAATAATAACCAGCTTCAGGAAGATCTAGATAAAATTAACAATTGGTGCAAAGAGTGGATTATGTCACCAAACAAGTATAAACGCAAACTAATCCACTTCACCAAGAAAAAAACCACTCCGTCATTTAATTACTTCTTGGACTCCGATCTGATTGAGACCGCTACTGTGTATAAATACCTTGGTGTAAGACTAACATCTAACCTTCCCTGGAATAACCACATTGAAGTAATTACCGCCAATTCATCTGGAACTCTTGGACTAAGCAGACGTAACTTAAAAAATCGCTCCACCCTTTGTCCCTAAGCTAACCTTTAACACGTACGTCAGACCAAAAATAGAATATGCTTCAACCATCTGGAATACCCATCGACTGTACCTCATCAATACGCTGTAGAGGCAGTTCAGAACAGAGCTGCTCGCTTCATTTCATCCACTTATGACTTTTCTTTCAGTGTCTCGGCGCTAAAAACTGAACTAACCATGTCCTTTTTGCAGCTTCGCAGGAAAGTCTCTCAGCTGTGCCTTATTCACAAAATCTACTACCACATTCCCGACCTCAAAACCACTTTGTTATTACACCTCGACCGAACATCTTCTCGCCTCAACAACGTCTGCACCATCAAACACACTTCTGGCTCTACGAACGCTTTCAATTGGTCATTCCTTTCTCAAGCCATCAGCCACTGGAACAGTCCCCCATCCTCCATTGTCACCATCTTGGACCCTGCTGATTTCTCCTCTGCAGTAAAACTACACCTTTCTTGGCCCATGTGATGGTGTGCGGGGCTAGACAGATCAGTGAAAACACTTACGCAGAGCGCTTGCCAGGCCAGACTTGTACGTAGTTCAACTACTTTACTCAAGTTACTGTAGTTGAACTACTTTTCTGGGTAGTTTAGTAACTTTTAATTACATTTCTATTCTAGTAATCACTAGTTTACTTTAACTACTTTTCCGAGTGACTTCCACTCAAATTACAAATTACTTTCTAATTTTAGTGGTTGTTTGGCTATCAACAGAGAACAGAGGTCGGAAGGTCAGCTGATATTTGCAGAGGGGGAAGCATGCGGAGAAGAAAAGGGGGGGATGGGAAGGAAGAAAGTGATTTAGATAGTCCA